GCTGAACGTATGTACAGACGAGACAGCTGCTACCGGCCGCGGCTACTGCGAGCTGCGAGAAATGAGCACGCCGAGTCGGAAATTAGACCGGGCGAGATGTCGGTCATCCCGCGGTGTTATCACGGAAATTACAAAAAAATGTGTTTTCAGCGCAGTCTTATTGAATGTCACTATAATGCAATAACGTGACATTGGAGGCCGATATCAGCTTTGAACGGCCCGATTCACCATTATCAGAAGCCCGGTACGATACTGAGCAGTCTGTGCGCAGTGAGGGACGCTATCATGGATCAGGAGGAACGTGAAGCCGAAAATAAACTTCATCTTTCAAGATATGCATGGACTTATGAATCATAAGGTCATGCGAGGAGACACTTGGGCAACAAAACTTGGGACAGCAGCAAAAAAGTCATGTGCAATCATTGCCGGATAAGAACACATGATCTACAAATCACTTCTTTCGTTACACTAGCAAATTCTTAATTCAATCCGCGCCCCACTGGGGTCTGCGTATAACACGCCCTACTGGGGGGGGGGGGGGGCTATTCATAGCCTCCCCTTCTAACTCCGAAACTACTGGGCCGATCGTCAAAATTCAAACGGCGTCTGATAGCCCCGGAAAAACTGTCGAGCGAAACCTAATTTCATTGACCTCGAGGTCACCGATGACGTCACAGGTCAGGTCAAAGTAAAAATTATTAGCATTTTGGCTTGTTCACGTTTTGGGCTCTGGCCGCCGTCTTACAAGTCAGATCAGGCTCATTTTTGGTTTACACACTCGTGAATAGATGCTCTAGATACTCTGAGGGTACCAAACTTGTACTTTGATTTTCAGGTCAAGGTCAGGTCATCACAGGTCACGAAAATATTATCCCTCGCCGGCCGAGGGGGGGGGGGGGCGGGTGCCGCCCCCCCCATAGGGTTTTTTTCGCGATAGCTCCGAACACGCTGGCGATAGAGAGCTGAAACTTGGCATACCTGACCTTTGATCCAAGCCGCATCTTTTGACACAAACCGCATTTTTGGGTCAGGTCAGGTCACTGACCTATGACGTCATAAGTGAACCTCTGCACGGTCTTCAGATGTCGCAACTTCGCAACGCCCTCACTGCCAGAGGAGATGTCACAGGGAAATGAAACTTGCAGGATCTAGTATCCATTATGAGTCTCACAACTTGTATATCTCGGATTTTTCCTAGAGGTCATATGAGGTCAGGTCATTTTCGTGACCTCACCATTATAAGTCAATGGGGAAAAATTCAACTGCTATTCTGGCGCCGGGAACGATCTCCAACTATCTCAAGCACACAGAATCGTGGTTTGATGCACTCCTTGCAAGGTTAGATGCGTCACTTTTGCAATGTTGACCTTCCGTGACGTCATTTATGACGTCATCAAGGTCATATTAGTTTTTCGTCAATAACTCCCGATCAAATTGAGCTAGCGAGTCGGGAAAGCCACCAATGGACTCAGGAAGACCTGCCGAATCGAATGATATGCGACATGACCTCTTTCGACCAACTTCGTGACCTGGGGGTGCTGACCTGACCTTGACCTGAGGTCAACACCCCAAGTTGACCTGACCCGGACAAAAAGTATATCATTCGACGCGCCTGATCAAGGCGAACACGATGCTGCCAAAATCGCGGCTCTGCGGCCGTTTTTTTGCGAAGTTATTCACCAAAAACTGAACCGTACCCTGGGGCACTTGACCTGACCTCAGAGGTCACCGGTTGACCTAGGACCTTAAAATCGGGTACCAATCTCTGCGTCTCGTAACGGCGCACACGCTCGTTTTTTCCGCGACGCGCTAGCTCCACCAGGGGCGAAACGGCGAGGGGGGGGGGTCGTACCCGCCCCCCCCCCCCCTCGGCCGGCGCGTATGTAGAAAACCAATAGGTCCGGCGAGGGTTATATCATGCGTCGGTCACGTTACACATGTTGTATGGTCCATTTAGGTCAGAGATTTCGAATTTGATGTCGTCTGTGTCATTCGAGGTCATTTTGAGTCGAATTTAGCTTATGTTAGGTCACTTTCAGGTAAAAAAAGGTCAAATTTTGAAGTTAAAATTTTTCAACAAAAAAGGTGTCTATTGGATGCAGTTTGAGCTCAGAAACACGATGGTGCTATTTATATTGGCGTACGATGTCAAATACGTGCTGAAAAATTGATTTGTAAAATTGATAATTGTGAATTTTTTGCAATAATGCGTAAAACTTGGCCGTTTTTGAAGATATTTAGCTAAAACTTGCTAGAGTTAGTCATAATAATGCATTCTATCACATATATTCCGTTTTTTCGAAAAGTCAAAAACTTTTTGAAAAAATGTAAAAATAATTTTTTTTGATATAATTGTATTAAATTTTCAAAATTTTCAAAATTTCGAAAATCCGAGATAGCAGTTTGATAGCGCAGTCTATTCTGAGTCCTCTCATGCAAAGAAATTGGATCTAGCTTAAAAATTGAGCTCTTGGGAGCGATTGCCGTGGTTCAATGTTTGGCGTCGAAATCGGCCGAACATGACGTCACTCTGACATCATTTCCGGTCGACCTAAAGTAGGTACGAAGTTCAAATTTTGACACAAGGTGTCAAATTGATGCAGCCTAAGGTACTGAAAGTTTGGTGTCGATACGTTAAGCGGTTTGGAAGTTATTGCAGAAAAACGGGAGGGGGGCTATAAATAGCCCCCCCAGTGGGGCGCGGGTTTTAAAACTGATTGATCACTCATCAAGCATCGTTTTCTCGTCGATCTCGCACCCCGTTAATTGCCCACTGATCATCCTCGTACTGACCTCTCCTAACGACCTGCCCCTCCTGCCCGACTCATCCCTACTGGTGTGAATGGGGGACACCCGACCCGCGAACAATGACGCCTTCATTCGTCACGCGTGGGTGCGCTCCTGTTGTCGGCGCGGACAGTCGGCAACTGGGGCAGGCGACGACCCGCGCGCCGGGCGGTCTGGTCGATGGGGGCCGCTGTACCGCCGCCGCAGGGCACCGGGGACCTGCCGCCGGCCGGCCGGGTGGTAGCGATACGGGGCGACATTCCGCTGGATGGAGGAGGGAGTGAGTCATCGTCAGACCGCAGACCGAGACAAAGTCGGCTTGTGGCTCCTGCATTCGTATGTCCTATAACATTCATAGCTAGGACATGTGTCTTGGAGATACGCCGGTATGTGTCTAAGAAGAATGGAGGGATGCCGGGCCTGTTTGTGGACGATACTGATGGAGACACAATGGCTAGTTACTGCAGATAAAGGGACCGCCGATCTGTGGCTAATATAGAAGGAGACACTTCGGCTGGATACATCTGTCAAACAAGCATGATTAATTCAACAAACGTGTTCGTCATGGTCAGCCGCGTCGAATGGTATAATTTTCGTTTGGGAAAGGTCAGCTTTTCTAGGTTGACCTCAAGTCAAGGTCAGGTCACGGCCTCTCAGCTCACAAAGTTAGTCGAAGGAAGTCATATCACGATATCTTTGATTGGGCACGTTTTTCTGAGTCAGTTACAGGCTCTTCCGACTCACTAGTTAGATATAATCGGAAACCTATGACGAGAAACCCCAATGATCACAGGTATGTACATCATAAATGACGTCACATAAGGTCAACAATGCAAAAGTTAAGCATCAGACCTTGCGAGGAGTACATGAAACTGCACGATTCCACGTGCTCTTCAGGAGCGGGCCCACGTGCAGTGAGATGACAGTTTGCGGGGCTGACGGTTCACGGTTGACCTTTTCACTGTGACTGGCTCAGCCCCGTGGAGGCCGCTCAGCCCGGTGCACCAGGGTGGCCGCCCCGAAAAATGTCTCTCTTTATTCTTATTAACCTTTTGGCTGTGGAAAGATCCCCTTAGATCGGAAAGGTTCAACCCTACAAAGAGGGCTGATTAAACTTTAGGTAGGTTTGGGAAGCCGATGTCAGAGACCAGGGTGACGTCAGGTATGATGACTGTCGTCTGTCGAACTTGTTTTGCGATTTCTGTTGAGATTAAATATATACGAGACAGTGGCTAGGCAAAAGTTCGTATATGCTTAGAGAAGTCCGTTCATTTCGTGTAGGCATATCCAGATAATGCTGGTCTTGCCCGATGAGCCCGATGGCGCGGCGGCCGGCATTACAGTCAGACACTCCTCGCTCCAACCATCCAAGCCTAGCGTGTCAGCGGGGATCACAGCCCTCTCGATGGATTGCGGTGGGTCGAACACATCAATAGGGACTACCACTAATCCGATCCACCCCACCCCACCCTTCCTCCTTCAGCGCCAGTCTCCACAGCCCCAGAACTCACCTTGGTCCTCAGCCTCCGTCAGCCTCGCTCTCACAGTGACAGGAGAACCTCACACGGTGTAACACACCCACACAACCCAAACACCGTCCTTCTCCGACTCTACAGCGGCCATCACTGCACCGTCGCCACCGCCGCCGGGCAGGGCGTCGGTGACGGTACCGACGGCCCCGACGACACTGGCTCGTCGCAGCCGACGATCGGTGGAGGGAGGCGCGCGCACCTGGACGGGCGGGGGCGGGGGCGGGGGGCGGGGGCGGGGGCGGGGGCGGTGACTGACCGCCGACCGGTGTGTGGGTGGCGACGGACACCGGGACGGTCGGTGTTGCTGATGGTGGGAGAGGAAGATTTGTGTCATTGGAAACTGACGCCATGCAGGTCCGAGGAGGACGCGTGATAAAATGGACCATTAACGCCATCCCAACGACATACAAAGACAAACGAAGTCGATCCCGGTAAAGTGTAGGGATTCTATCAAGGGTTCTTGTCTTACTTGCAAAACTGATTGGTCGAGTATTGCGGTGCCAATCGCATCACTGTCTGGCCTCATGAGCCAACCACGCACCGTGTGCACTGTGAAAGCCTGTGAGGCAGTAACGCTAGCACGAATTTCAACACAGGAAAGCGCTGCTTGTTTGTCAGAGACTATCATTAGGTCTTCGTTCTAGGCAGCTCAGTGCCCTTTTCTCGATCACAAAAACATCATCAGGTGCCTTAACGGTTTATTAATATTAGAAGGCTTTGTACGCAGAGGACAATGCATAGACATCGATGACACGGAGCAATAAATATTCGCCCGACCGAGAAAAATAACAGGTAGAAAACTAGTCCAATACAAAGCATGTACATTGTGCGGCGCGGCTCTTTGGTGACGGCGTACAAAAATAGTCGCGCGGACAACTCAGCGAAGCGGGCGCCGCGCGCCGGTGCGCCTCCCAGCTCTCTGTCAATCAGTATGATTCACGCGCGGTGCCGCGCCGAACTCGTGCATCGCGCCTCGCTCGCTCGCGCAGCGGTCGCTCCCGTCTGGGATCGCTTCGGGTCGGGGGAATGGCCAGGGTACAGGTATATCTAGGGAGGACCGCGGTGAGCCGGCGTCATCTTCAACAGTCACAGAATGACCGATGGGACGACGCCTGGCTAGAAGCGACGCGCGGGAACCATAGAAGGGAGAGCGACCGGCGCCCTGCAGAGTCCAGCGTCACTAAAAGCACCGAACCGAACCGAACTGAACCGATCAGCGGAGAGAACCGCGCGCCGCGACTAGTCATGGACGGCCTCTCGGGCGCGCGTGGCGCCCTGTACGCGACGCTAAAGCCTCACCTAAACGCCCACTATTGCAGTAAATAACTATAAATAACGCGATAACATAACCTGCTTACGAATAGCGACTACACGTCAAGTACGACATGTTTTAACAAAACAGTCTCGACGCCACACTAAAAGGCGTAAATAGACGGGAAATCTCAGTAACGCGAATCTCCACTGTCAACAAAGGTAACCGAGTAACAAACTGAAAACGTAACATGTCCGCAGGCGCCGAGGCGGAGGCGTCAGGACGCGCCAGCCGCCAGACGCAGCCATCGCTGGCGGGCACATCTCGGCATTCATCGTCCAACCCCTCCGGGGGCCGTTCTCGCCACACACCGCGTGGAACAGAGTCGTTCTCAGGCACAGATACGACCGCGGCAGGCTGTCCACGATCGGTAAGACCGGAGCAGCCCCCGAGTCTCCCCCCGCGGCCCACGCCGAGTGGCGGGCCCCACCATCACCAATCTCCCCAACAAGCAACTATCACAGGAAACAAACTAATCAGCAATAATTTAAAGGCGACTTACGCTAGACCTTTGGCATAACATCTCCCTACGTAAAAAGTGTTCGCGCACGCGGGGGCGAGCTTGTCGATCAGAGCGGTGCACGAGACACACGCGACGCGACGAACCCGTACTTCCCGACGAAATACACGCCGGAAACTCACCCCTTCCGTCAGCGCAGTCCTTTGCAGCCAGCCCAGCGGCTCGTCCGTACCGTTAGCTCCGCCCGCGGCACAGGGCGGCTGACCGGACACTGTCTGCCTGCCGTACCACCGCTTCCCGGCGCGGAGTGGTAACTGTAGAACCAGCTCACCAGCCCCGGCGGGCGGCGGGTGGGAGACCGGCGGGCGGCGGGCGTCGGCTACTTGCGGCCGAACCGCTGCGCCGGACTGTCCGGCGGCGTGGTGGGCGTCTGGAAAGTCCTGGATACGGGCAGGTGACTGCGGGCCGCAGTCGGCAGACCCTGGATCGTCTCCTGGATCGACGACGACGCCTTGCGCACCGTCGTCTTGAACGAGAGCCGCTTCAGCGTCTTGGGCGACGGGTCGGCCTTGCCCAGTTCGATCTCCGCCATACCAGAGTCCGGGTCGGCTGTGGGCAGAGCGCGGGGTACAGTCACAGCACGCCGGTATCAGTTAGGTATAGCACAGGCCACGGTTGAAGCATTACTCTATAACACGGTGCCCAGCAGCTGTTGTAGCACTGAGCTCGGCAACTCCAGAATACCAGGAATTTCTGCTAGTCCCGGCATTCGACCGGGAAACTTTCTAGAAGCCATGACGAGAGGAAAACACATGAGATGACGATAATTATAACGCTTACATTCGGGCGCTTTGGAATCAATACCCAGCATTTCAATTACGTCTACAAACATAGCATCTCAATCTTCAACTCAGTATTCCCTTTTCGTGTAAAATGGTGTCTGAGAGAACATTTTGTGCGCCAAACCCGCGGCAATCAGTCCCGTCCTTACCTCTGTGGTTTCGTGTCTCTGGGTGCCACGGGGACCGCTGAGGAGTGGCGTCCACCAGAGCGGAGGTCAGTGGCGGCTCCGAGCCCACCCGGGACACCGGCTCTGTAGGTGAAAGGTCACAGGTCATGTCAGGTCAGATGCGGTTCCGAGCACCACCCGGGACACCGGCTCTGTAGGTGAAAGGTCACAGGTCAGGTCAGGTCAGTGGCAGCTCCGAGCCCACTCGGGACACCGGCTCTGTGAAAGGTCACAGGTCAGGTCAGGTCAGGTCAGCGGCGGCTCCGAGCCCGCCCGGGACACCGGCTCTGTGAATCACCAGGGCAGGTCAGGTCAGGAGAGAACAGCGTCACCAGTGCGGAGGCCAGCGGAGGGACACCGGCTCACCAGTCACCGGGACCACACCAGGATACCGGCTCTGAAGGTTACAGGTCTGATGAGAGGCAAGGTTCAGACCCCACCCGAGATATCAGCTGTCAAAGGTCACAGTTCTGGTTAGGTCAGGTGAGAGATGGATTAGACCCCTTCTATCAAAGGTCACAGGTCGGGTCAGCTGAGGGGCGAATCAGACTTCACTTGATAAAACGGCTCTGTGATTTAAAGGTCAAGGTAGGTCCGACGAGGGACAGATACGGCCTCATCCCTAACACAGACCCTTAGGAGGTCGACTCACAGGTCAGGATAAAACGCGGCCGTACCCAGGGGGCACCCGGATTTGAACCGGGGACCTCTCGATCTGCAGTCGAATGCTCTACCACTGAGCTATACCCCCGGATGGCAAACTGCACCGGAGAACACGTTCTGACCAGCCAGCGACTGGCACAAACTCCTACATGGCCCGCATCTGCCTTCACAGCTGCACCTTCCTGTTGGCTTTCATCTGTCCAGGGTGTATCATTATGCCTAATAACATTCCACCCTTGACGGATCAAGGCGCCAGACCGCTAGGGTTACTGCAGTTTGTATGTCTGTATGTCTGTCTGTATCTGTCACACATGTCCCACCCCGGCCAGGTCGCCACGCAAGGGTAACTGCGGTCTAGCTGTCTGTGTGCCACATCTATCTCACTCTGAGCAGGTCGGGGCGCCAGTCCGCCGGGGACCGGAGGCGCCGGGCTGTATGACCCTCTGTCTGTTATTGTAGCCTATATCTCACCCTGAGCGGGTCGCGGTGCCAGTCCGCCGGGGACCGGGGGCGCCGGGCTGTATGCCCCCCTGTCTGTATTTGCAGCCTATATCTCACCCTGAGCGGGTCGCGGCGCCAGTCCGCCGGGTACCGGGGGCGCCGCGCTATATGACCCTCTGTCTGAACTGTAGCCCTATATCTCACCCTGAGCGGGTCGCGGTGCCAGTCCGCCGGGTACCGGCGGCGCCGGGCTGTATACGCTGCCCACCAGCTCCTCAAAGGTGGACGACTCGCGGTGGTTGGAGATGAGCGTCTCCAGCGCCTGCGAGCGCTCCTCGAAACTGAAATAAAGACACAGTGTTAGATCCTAGCACGGTTCCATAGCACAGCAGCAGTCATCTGAGCCTGGGAGCGCTCTGCACAGCTGCAACAGAGACATGAGACTGACACAAAGCAGACTGACAAATAGACACAGCCTGTCCTGAGCACAATTCACGGCTTCGATGGGAGATGACTATCAGCACTTCTCTCACAAGTTCAGGTAGTTGGATCAGATACAAGGTAGATTTGTAGTACCATCTCAGTATGTCTTTTCCACAAGTTAATGTAGGAGTCGGACAGCAAAAATATGATCTACGGACTACAACTAAGTTAAAGCAAAGCATGTTCTACTCAAAAGTTAAAGGGACCCTCCCACCTTAACATTAGATTTGAGTTGAGATAGCCAAAATGGGGTCCCTGGCTCACAATTACCGGTTTCGGCACTCACAACATCGAGAAATGCCTTAAATCGGAAATATTGAATTTCAAAATTGCAGCATTTTGATTCAGAGGGGCTAATGCATAGGAATACCCCTCTGAATGTGTGACGTCAGCGCAGATATCTAACGATTTTTAAATGTTTGACTAAAACGTTTTGTAGCACGCGGTGGTATATGCTGCTTTGCGCGCAACAAGTGCCGCACTTTCAGCTGCCAAACTATTGCTTCCAAATAAAGTCGCTAGGAACAGCGGAGATCCCAAAAAGTAAACAAAAGTAAAAGTCTAATATCTTGAGAACCGGTGAATATTTTTCGGTGAAATTTGGTAGATATTCGTTTTCGCTCTTTCTGAACCGATCAGCGACATCACTTTCATGCCAATTCATAAACTTTTTTGAAGGTGGGAGGGTCCCTTTAAGGAAGCAATACAGCATGCTAGCTGTTCTACTCACAACAACCACAGGAAACCGTTCTACTCACAAGTTGAGGTAGTAGGGCAGCATGCTGCGCTTGGCCCGCGAGGCGTTGAGAGCGGTGGCCCGCACCAGGCCCGGTAGGATCTTCCGTCCCACGATGGCGCCGTTAAACAGCGGGCCGAAGAACGGCACCTGAGGGCGGAACAGGTCAAATGCCGAGTGGTGGCTAGGCTGGTGAAGGGAACATAACGGGTGAGGCAGACTGTATGTGTCCAGGTCAGGCATACGCCCGAATGCGAGTTGTATCACTCATTGCAGACATATAAAATTCAACTTCTCTCAGGGGTGCTAATACAGCAATTCTGAGGTATTGTATTTGTTGTACAAGAGCTGACGTGCCTTGTCATCAATTATACGGCTTCTCAGAGCTTGCAATAGTCATCACGCCATACTTGAAAGAAACAGACGTATCACAGGTACTATCATGACCTCGATGTCGCTTAGTGCAAAGCATAAACAATGCAAAGGGCGTCTTGCAAAGGACAGCACCCCAGCATTCTGCGCCGCTCAGCGGTCCATTTCGCGTCGGTCTTTTCTATTCAATAAAGTGCGTCGATGCAGCGGTGGCGGCATGGCCGGCACTTGCCACGTGTTGGGGGAGAAATCGTGTCACCGGGATATTGCCAGTATCGACCGCCACCCCGCCCCTTCCGGTTGCCCCAGAATTAAACCCGGCTCACGCCAGGGCTGGGGCGTCGACCTGGCCTGAAGTACGGACGCGGCTCGACAAGGAGTGAAGGCCGGCGCACACCGGGTACGATCCTATCGGGCGTCGACCTGACCCCGCCCGGCAGCCGAGTGTGGATCCGGCCCGCAGCCCCGGCCGGGCGGGACACACAGGGCAGTGACCCGCCCGCACGGTCACCGCACCACGGCTCATACGTCGGCAAAGGCCAACAGATCAGTCCAGGGGTCACAGTCATGGGTGTAACAACTAACAAGGACGATAGGAGAGGTGACTGTTGGGATATTGAAGTCGTAGGCTGAGTCTCTTAGTCCGCCACTACCCTGTTGTTTCTGTGACATCCCAAATAATCCCGCCGGCGACACCACTGACATTATCTATACTGCCCTGCCTTAACTGCCCTGGTTCTTGTTTGTTTGTTGGGGCTTTAGGGCGCGTCCTGCCCTGGTTCAGTTCACCAGCGATATATTCACATTGAACAGCTCCCCACAGCCGAACTGGAACCATCGATTACCGTTCACGGTGGCAAAACAGTGACTCCCCTCCCTCCCACACCGATCGCGGTAGGGGCCAACTTCCCGAACAAACACCGTCTACGGCCGGTCAACAGTAGCCGAAACGGCTCTAATTGGGCTGAAAACGGCCACCGCTCGACACGGAGCTACGAACCGACCCCCGGGCGGGGAACGGCGCGATGACCCGACTAATCACTGACGAGCTGTCAGGGGCAGACTGACAGCTGGCCACCGAAATAGGACATACTGTCAGCTTGTCATTTAACAGAGGAGCAAAGTGACAGCTAGTCATCCAACACAGCCCGGCCACTAATCACCAAGACGTCAACAGTGGCGGCATCAACGACCTAAGTGGCGCCCGAGTACCGTGTCAAGAGTCGATCCATTCTAAGCGGGACAAACGACAAGGGTCGCATTTAGTGGCGCTCCATACAGCTTTGAACAGACTCCGGGTAATCAATACGTGCCGAGTGGGCCACCTTTTCGCCTCCCCGGCCACTTCACAGGACTCCTACCGGGCGGCCCGCTGACAGGGTTAATGATTTATGGTCGCAGCTGTGTATACGCTGTACCGAGTAATGTCAGTGGTGTCGCCGGCGGGATTATTTTGGGTGTCACAGAAACATCAGGGTACCGGCGGACTAACGAGCCAGCACAGCGTCTATTTAGAACCCACGTACAGTGAAGGCGACCTTTGGAACCTGATGTGCCCTGAAACTGCAGTGGTAGTTCACCATAGGTTACGCAGTACGCTTACCTGTAGACGTCGCCAACAGACCCTCCGTTATCATGAATATCCTAGTCAACATGTATGAATACATTAACATTCAAATTTTATTCATGACCGTCAAACTACAGACGCGTCTTTTAAACTACATTTATTTATTTATAACTTCCAACAATCCGCCACAATTCAGCCAAGAATTACGAAAACTGCAATGGTCTAAGTCATTGAATCAGTTTCCATCTCATCAGGTAAGTTCCCATCTTACCCTTCCCTTACCTACCAGACACTCCCAGTGGCCAGTTCCTTACCAAATTCTACTCAGTCACCTAATGCCAATCGCATGTCCCTCACGCTCGCCATGAGCCACCCCGGCTCCCTCACCTCGGGTTTCCTGTCGAGCTGGATGCGGAACAGACCGCTCTCCAGAGGGTAGATGACGATGAGCACGTCACAGAACTCGGTGGGGATGATGCCACGCCGGTAGTCCCGCTTGTGTTCCGACCACACCACGTGCACCTCGTCGTTACCCAGGTGACGCGTCTGAGGGAGGGGGTGGAGGAGTTACCACACGGCGGGCACACTTTGGCTATAAGGGCTTTACGGCGCACCGACTGCTAAGGTTAGGAAGGCATAATGAGAAGGTAGTGGCGGGTGGCCTACCATTGTGGAAGGCGTAAGTGCGAGAGCAATGCAATTGCGTATTGCGCATGTCTTAGGCGGTGGGTATTTTGAACGTCATTGCTACAATGTCACTTTTCTGATACAAAAGTGGGTAATCTTGCATAATAACACATATGAGAAAAAGGCAATCATATCGCTAATATCAATTAATGAATATCCGCTTAACCCAAAATAACTCCCATATCTTTCAAATCAGCACCTACCCAAAAGCCTCCCGCTCCCGCTCCCTCCTAATTCTCCTTCCTACTCCCTCCCTCTCCCACGGTACCTTTTGCAGGATGGCCTCCTCCGAGTGTGACGGCATTCTGGTGGACACGTGGAACAGACACTCGGTGAACGAGGTGGCGTAGTAGGGCGCCGTGTCGCCCGTCGCGCCGTTACGCTGCAGGCCGCCCATGAAACCAGTGTGCGTCTCCAGCTCCACCTGGGGACGGAGGGGGGGGGGGAAGGTCAGCCCATGAAGCCCGTGTGCGTCTCCAGCTCCACCTGAGGAGAGAGAATGGAGGAAAGTTAAGAGTGACATAGCATTTCTTGGGTGTCGTCACTGAGGCGACACTAGGCGAATAATTGTTGATGTTAATTTCATACTGAGCGATGGTTTTCCCGGTCAATTTTAAGCGTTGTTGCACCGTTTGTGGTCTTATTACGATTTACGAATAAATTTGTTCTTATCCGTAGGTAGGTCTAGGCTGCTAGAGAGAAGAGCGTATGAGTGCAACACTTTATAAGCTGAAGTAAGACTGAAAAGGTTTTATCATTATGATTATAATTACAGCATAAATGACACAATTAAAATGCATAAAACACTGACTATGCATTCCATCACCATTATGACCGGACAAAGGTCAGTTTCCACACGACTACCACGATCCCTCGCTGTAAGCGATTTTCTGAGACCAGTGTCCTCCTCGCGCTACGTCCTCAGCTTCAGTGTAACTCACCTCCCAGGCCAGTCCGGCGATGAATTCCTCGAACATCTGACTACCCGCCGAGTTGGCCAGGATGGACCGTTTGTCCTCCTGACCCAGCGCCACGTAGATCACGGCGATCTTGTGAGTCTCCCGACATTTCTGAGGACGGAGGGAGACGCATCGGTCAGACAGGCACTGGGGTTCATGCAGGGGCGGATCCAGAAAATCTCCAAGGGAGGGGCCATTAGAAACCAGGAGGCCCCCCCCCCATAATCCCACCTGTTGGCCCCCCCCCAAAAAAAACTGCGTCTATTGAGCTTATCTAGCTGTTCAGGCAACATCTCAACATCTGTGCAGGCTTGGAGGCCCTCTGTGCAGGTTAGGAGGCCCTGTAAAAGTGGTCATCTCTGTGAGTATAAGAGACCTCCAAGTTATGAAAAGCTTTACCAATCTTCTAACAATAACTAAGTGGGTAGGTTAAAAAAAACTCATCGGATTTCGGCCACTTTATTTTCAGGAGGCCCCCTTTTCAGCTTTTTAACTTTTTAACTTTTTATTTTGTTTTTGAAAAAAATCGGCCAAGGGGGGGGGGGCATGGCCCCCATGGCCCCCCCCCCCTTGTATCCGCGCCTGGGTTCATGCAAGAGTACAGACACTGCAGGGCTGAGGGCACAGTGACAGACACACGTTTTCATCTATTTGACTCACTTAACTCTGCTCTTTCCATGTGTTTACCTTTACATTTGAGTAGAAATCAGCTTCAAAAAGACCACTGCCATCGCTGTTTACCGAAGGCAGCACATCCCTAGAGCATTCTGTTCGCTCTGGGTACATTTCCCATCCATCCATCCGTCCTCTCCCCTGTCTTCGCCTCCCCCCTCCCACTCCCCACCTCACCTGATTGTCGACATTCCTGAGCTCCCTCAGCAGTCGCTCCGACTTCCTCAGCAGGTGGATGTGCGGCCGGCGCGACCAGCCCGTCAGGCCGAGCTGGCTGAACAGCAGCCGACCGTGCTGGAACGGCGAGCCGGCCGGCTGGGGGGCAGGGGGACGGCAGGCCGGAGCCGGGGCGCTGCGGGAGAAAAACAGTGGGGTCAGTACAGTAGCAGAGCAGGGGAGGGGAACGGAGAGCCGGCAGGCTGAGGTGCAGGCGGGCGGCAGGCAGGAGCAGGGGCGCTGAGGGAGGGGAACACAGCGGCGTTAGTACATGTGGCGGGGCAGGGGAGGGGAACGGAGAGCCGACCGGCTGCGGGACCGGGGGACGGCAGGCTGGAGCAGGGGCGCTGCGGGAGAAAAACAGTGCGGTCAGTACAGGTGGCGGGATAAGGGAGAACTGTGAGCCGGTCGGCTGGGGTGCGGGGCAGGGGGACGGCAGGCTGGAGCCGGGGCGCTGCGGGAGGGGACACAGTCGGTCAGCACGGGTGGTGGGGCAGGGCAGGGGAATGGTAAGCATGGGTATGGAAACTTGCTAATACAAGTACAAATAAATTTTGCAAGGAAAGTCGGCAAGAGCAGAATACAAACGTAGGATACTAAAATATAACCGTCACAAGAACTGCGACACTTATGACAAGATTCACCAAATGCACACAAGCAGTACGGTGGCCACTAACACCCATACAGCGCAGAAGTTCAGCGTCTCGCAGCTGCTACCGTGGAGCGACGATCTGATATTTTACCTTCCTCTGACTGCTCTGTGCATACCAACGAGCAACCATAATTGAAGCGTCCTCTCGACTGTTGCTTCACCCGACGCCCCTGCAGTCTGTCCGCGGCCGTTACCTGGTGTCAGCAGTGCGCGCCGGCTCCAGCTCTGCGCTCCGCTGGTTCAAAACACAGCCACCACACCAACAACTGGTGCTGGTTGTGGTCTAAGGTGGTTAGTTACCTGGTATCGGCTGTGCGGGCAGCCTCCAGCTCCGCGCTCCGCTGGTTGAGCAGCGCGTTGATGGCCTCCACGTGTCGCTCCTGGCCGAGCACGGACGGTAGCAGCGAGACGGCGTCTGTGGTGGCCACACACTCCGGGGATGTGTCGGCCAGATACAGTAACAGCTGGGGGAGGAGGGGGTATACAATCAGTACACGGACGGTAATAGCGAGACGGCGTCTGTGGTGGCGACACACTCCGGGGAGGACGTGTCCGCCAAGTACAGCAGCAGCTGGGGGGATACAGCAAAACAACGAAATAAAACACGGTAGGTAAGCAAAAAACGACAACAATTGGTTTGACAAGTGGAAAATTGCGGTATCATAGTTTACAAATCGGTCCCATATCTGTATCCACCCACCCTCAGTATCTGGTATCATCCTCTTTCTCCACCAATCATCTCTCTCCTTTTCTCTCCCCTCCCCACTACGTCGTCCAAATTATCCAGATCCCCCTCTGTGCCCCTTCCAGCAGGGCAGCGTGCCCCTGCCATCTCCCTCCCCCTCCTACTCACGTCATCCAGGTTATCCATATCCCCCTCGGTATCCTGCCAGCTGGGCAGCGTGCCCCTGCCGCGGTGTCGAACAGTGAACCGGGGCGGGGCCACCATGGCGGCCCCCAGCAGCGACTCCTCCGACTTGCCGTGTACCATGGGCGGGGCGGAGCGGCGCGCCACCGGCCGAGGCGCCCACTCTGTGGAATGAGAATTGTTGTCAGAGAACAGGTCAGTTAGGTGAGGAATGGGTGATGAACGAATCAAGAAATGAAGTGCTGAAGAGCTTGACGAATATATAAAGAAACAAAGATTAAATTATTGGATGAGCAAGTCAATGAAGATAAAAATCAATTTATTAGCGCGGCACCATCCGAACACGTGGACAAGCGTGGCTTAACAAGTCGCACAAAAAGTTGGAAAATAAGTCAGCTAACAAAGCCAGAGCCTGTTCCAGAGCCAGCTAGCCCAATATAATGCATTGTAGTGGGTCTCGAAATAGGCTCAACACTGAACTGCACCGAGCGACTCGAGCTGACCGTCTGTACGGTACAGACTCTGTTATACACAGATATACTAAACTGCGCAGAGCGACTCGAGCTGTCACTATATACTACCCGGCGGTACTATAGTACACTGACCTGCACATAGCGACTCGAGTTGACCGTCCGTGCCGTACAGAACCGAGGCGTCCCAGCAGAACTTGCCGGCCAGGTCACGCAGAATCACTCGCACCTGACCGGACAGGGGTAGCAAAGGGTCAGGTGGGGTCACGCGGGGTCAAATGAGCCATCAGTCTATCACAGCGTTCAAAGGTCACGCTGCCTCAAATGATGCAAGGAAACGATCACACGACTATTCGGTCACAAAAACATACCCAGGCCAAGCTGTAAAAAAAAAAAAAACAAGTTGTAACGCGGGTAAGAGCAGTGCAGCGTTTCTTCCACAGACACTGATGCCCAGACACTGACCGGTGAATAAATCGCACACAGTTCATCGATCTGGTCCGCTATTAATCAGCGAGTAGGTCGTACACAGCACATTGACCTGACCTGACCCTTCACTAACCTGCAAGTGAGCGGCACACAGTCCGGCGGTCATCCCGGCGGTACTGACCTAGCCTGACCTGACCCGACCCTCACTGACCTGCGAGTGTGTGGCACACAGTTCGGTAGTCACCCCACTACTGACCTGACCTGACCTGACCTCTACTAACCTGCGAGTGTGCGGTACACAGTCCGGTGGTACTGACCTGGGATTTGGCAGTACACATTCAGTGATTAGTGACTGACCTGCGAGTGTGCGGTACACAGACCAGCGGTCACCCCGCCGCCCGGTACGTCCAGAGAAGGCAGCTCCACCAGCGACAGCAGCGAGCGGTTGTTCAACACGAAAAACTGCAGCGCAAAAAAGGAGGATATGGTTAGCATCGTTCCGTCAATACTTCGTAATGCCAACACTTCGATGACGGGTAATTCTGACATTTTCTACAACATAAATGCTGGTTTCCCTGATCAATTGGATGTTGCTCCGTCTGTGGTTTCATTAAATGTGTTCATATATTCTTACCATACATTATACAACTTTCTCATACAAACAATGACGACAACCAACTTAAAAACAAAAACACTCGAAAAAGCGTCAAGAGCCTCAGTTCCAGCCATCTCCAAAACTGCATTCGTACGTCCTTTCCCTCCTACCTCATCCTTTCTCCTCCCTCCCCTCGTGTTCTCCCTGTCCCTCCTTCCTTCCTCCTATACCTGCACGTTGGGCGCGTAGAAGATGTCGGAGCTGAGCTCGTCCGAGGCGGTCAGCATGGGCAGGTCGTCGTGTTCAGAGACCAGCGAGCCGAGCCGCACGGCGCCCGACAGCATCGGGAAGTGGTCCAGGTGGTTCACCAGGTGGGAAATCACCTGTGGGGAGACGGGACAGGGCGTCAGGTGGGGATACTAGAGTCGGGCTCAGCACAGGTCATAGCCATTATACATGGACTATCAATGTTAGATGACCATGGCAAAAGACAAGTAAAACATCAAATCCTTCCGACACAACTCAACAATGCCCGTGTGGCAGTAAACAGCTCTCATATGTATCTAATGTCTTATCTATAGGGACCGGGAACTAAGTATTCGATGCTAAAATCCTCCCCCTCCTATCCATGTCACCCTTTCATGCCACTCACAACAGTGGAAGGTGAGTCGGCAGCCATTCGAATGTAAGCTCTATAAACCCAAGACCAAAACTAGCATCCTCCTTCTCCTACATCCTATAGCTTCAGAAGTCTCCCTGCCCCCTGTAACGTCAAATATAACTCTGCAACATTACGCGCTGTACGTACCGCCCTGGCCGCCAGTTTGACGGTGCCCAGCGGAGCCGCGTCCCCCGTCACCGTCCCGCTGGACCGAGAGTCCACAGAGTCGGCCGACAGGGAACCGGCCGGCGGCGAGTCGCCCACCACCACGTGAAGTACCTGAGCGCGCGGTGGGAGAGGTTAAACGACGGAGCACAATACGACGTGTAGTACCTGGACGCACGGCGGGGAGGGTTTACGATGATATTGGAGGTCACAGGGGACAGAGAGGGGCGCAGAGAGGCGCAGGAAGGTTTACAAGGAACTGTCACAAGAGGTTAACAGAAACGGTCACAGGATGTTGACATGAACAGTCACAGGAAAGGTCACAGGGCGTTGGCAGGAGCGGTCACAGAAAGCTCACAGGAACATTCACCAGAGACTATTGTGCGATCAGACACGGATTGATGTGCACAATGCTTGAGCACAAGATCGCTTTCGCATGATCAGATCTAAACAGAGTCAAAATTGATGTAAAAAAAAAAACATTTGATTAAACCACACCAGCATAGCTATTTAAGAAAACAGTATTTACGGTTTTTGAAATGTGACCGGGTTTCTTTGAGCATTTAACAGTTGGCACTATGAAGATTAAAACAGCTCCTTTAAAGTACATTGAATGAGTTCTCATACTTCATAGTTCATACTTCATAGTGCACTTACCAAAATGAATTGATAATGAAAATGAATTTATGTAATTCGTAACCTCGTGAATTATAAAAAGTAAAATAAAACAGAAAAGATGAGGAATTTCCTTTATAAAACAAAACAAAACCGCCAAAGGTGGAACTAAAAACCCGCCACCACATAATTAGTTATAATTAGTTGTGTCATCGTCATTTGAAATTCATGTGCAGTAACTACCACATTCCTAACTACACAGTTTACAAAACAAACGATAGATCACACGGGTGCAAAATGAGCATGCAAGGGCATAATAAAATGAACCTCCACCGCAAGGCAAACCAAAAATAACCCAAAAGCGATATAGAAAGGCAGAACCCAGCAAAAACCAAGGCGAAACGAAATTGTGAAGCTGAGGATTGTTCTCCCCGCACCCGGCCCGGAGCTGCGGGTCCGGGGGGGGGGGGGGTGGGGGCATCTGACCGCGGCCGGAGTCGCATGCCGACCTGGTGGTAGGGATCAGTGACTGTGAGCGATATGGGAGGCTGCGGGTGCGCCGTAGCCGGCGGCGGCGGCGGCGGAGGCGCGGGCGGCGGCCCGTCAGAGGCGCCGCAATCGGTCAGAGCCTGCGGCACATACCGGCCCGGTCCGTCAGTCACACCAGAGCCTGTGTCACCGAGCGGCCAGCCCACAGACGGACAGAAGCACAACAGAAAGAACTGAGAAGTATCGAAACGAGGGCAATAAGCCACAAACAAGTGTTAACATAGGGGCGAACAAGCCACGAAAAGGCAGACAAGACGACTGGCTAGACACGAAAAATGCAAACAGGGCGAACAAGAAAGCAGTAAGAGGAAAACGACCTGACGTGGGACGCTAGACGGGCAGAAGGCCAGAGTGCACTGACAAGACAAGCTCGCGGTAATACGTTAGCACGGATCGACATTCACAAGAAGAGGTACGGACGGTAAACACACGAAAAATCTCGGTACAGGCCACTAACAACAGGGGAAACAACGAAGAGACGATCACTAATCCACACAAGGCAGAACGTCTGTTTTTTTTTTTTTTTTTTACTAAAAACAGAAAACACCAGACGAGAAGGGTACATGAGTGGTCAGGATACGACGCGCCTATTCTAGGCCGCAGAAACACGCACACATACATTAACAGACTCGGTTATCGTTAGTCACACCGTGGCGGTTACACATTAGGCTAAACACGAGCCGGGGCCAAGGCAACCGCTTATTTAGGTAGAACATTGAATAACAAACAAGACGCACAAAATACTTCCTCGGGTGAATCCAATTTTAAATAAGTCATTCGTCAGGACGGTAATCTAATGCCATAAGATCATTGTTTCGTTTCCACTGTGCGCTGGTTCTCCAAGGATAACGCCGATAACAACATAAGCAATTGACGTGACAGCGTTCCAGACTAACCAAAACACCACATACGCAAACCAGGGGTGGTTTACCAAGAAAATTGAGCCAAAGACAAAAAAAAAACAGCGTTCTCCCAAAACACAGTGGGTATCACTGAATATGGCAAAAGTCGGAAAACTCAAGAGATGCTTAGACAATGGATTAAGTCACATAATTCATAATAGCGGTGGACAAATCCGTGAGTAAATCTGGCATTTGACGCAAGATAACTGAAAAATTAAAAGACACTTCGTGGAAACACCTGGTAATATCGTGAACTGATAAGCCAAAAACATCTTTCGTAAGTAGCAGCTATAAATGGGAACGTTTGGTTTAGTTCATTTAGCGTAACATCGACGCGGGTGTGCGAACCAAATACAAAATATCAAGACGTCATGAGACAACTATTGTTGTGCAAAGAAAAAAAGGATCTCGTTCTGCAATCAAAATAAGATCAAACGCACCGTTGGCTGTCGAACAATTCACACAATGTTAAACTACTGCATTATGACATGTTTATGGGACGTCATACCGTATCCTACTGGTACAGGGACACAACATGGTTGGGGCATATTTACTCATGAATGTATTTGCAAAGGGTGGGGTATAATGGATTCATAAGCGTTTGTACACTGTATAGGGTAGATCAAAGCATGATGAAAGGGAGGGTCTTTGAAAACAATGTGGCATTAGGTCGTTAAATGTTACATGCAAATCAGTACAATAAATGAGACATAAGTCATGACCATTCATGCATTAGAAGCTCACTTGAGGTTAGGTACTAAGCAATCATTTTATGGAGCAAAACACCATGCAGAAATATTACCAGGCATCTTTAGCGTGACAAAATGCAAAGCAAACTTCTCAGTTTATCGCATCATTCATACATTTTTACATCCAGTACCTATTTCCTACCACCTGCACAAGCTAGACATTCAGTTATATCCACGTGCTGGTGCCGGGACACAATCACACTGGTGCAGTAGCCCGTGACAGACTGCCTCAGTCTCACACCCCTCGCTGCGGCTGAGCCGGCGCGGGCACCTCACCTTGAAGACGCGCAGCAGGAGCGACTTGCCCTGCTGATCAGTCTCCGTCAGCACGTCGATCGGCAGTCTCATACACCACTCGCCCAGGCAGAACACCAGAGAGACGAGCAGCCAGCGCTCGTCGGGAGGAGGGTCCGAGCGGGCCACCACTAGCGCCTCCAGGGTGGCCGCTGTCACCTGGGGGGGGGGAGGGGGAGGGGACACAGTCAGTAAGGGTGACACAGCATAGGGACAGAGGTCAGTCGGCGGGTCGGAGCGGGCCACCACTAGAGCCTCCAGCGTGGCGGCAGTCACCTAACGAAGGCAGACACATGACAACAGTCAGAGAGGCTAGTCAGGGGTAGATAGCTGTGTCTCAGGAAGGGCGCGCTTGGTGAATCTGTGTTCGTTTGTTCTTTCGATGAACAGCAGCTTGCAGAACAGACAACCGCATGAGGGACACAGAACGCTTGATTGAGAAAACTGTCCCAATGAAGCGCAGCCAAACTACCTGCGTAGTGCGTACGGGAATGAATATGTTCTAACATTTTATTTTGTGAGCAAATTGCATTATCAATAGAACACATTTTTCCACGGTAAGCCCTGATCAAGCCCACCAACCATCGCCGGTCCACATTGACGCCGTCGCTCACCTCGATAATACGTTTGGGCACATCCGGCAGGTACTGGAGCAGGATGGCGGCGTGGTCCGTGAGCAGTACCAGCATGTCGGCCGCCACCTGACCCACGATCCGGCTGTTACACTGAAAACAAGGATAAGAGAGGAGGGTGATAGCGTATGTTGACAGTCACGTCCTGGCCCACGATCCGGCTGTTACACTGAAAACACGAGAGACCAAGAGAGTTAGGATATCGGCCGCCACCTGGCCCACGATTCGGCTGTTACACTGAAAACACGAGGGTAATAGTGTAAGAAGCCACCGACAGAGGCAAAGAAGGGGAATCAGCGAAGGACGCATACCGCAATGGTGATTTGCAAATGCCGCATAGAGAAAAAAATACAGAAGGTTGGTGAACTAGAGAAAAAATACACAGAAGGTTTGTGAACTACATGGATAACGACCATAACCGTGAAAAGCTAGTGCGACGCATACATTCAAACGGTACCCTCATCTAAAGACGAGCAGAAGACTTCTCACATCAGTCCATCAATTAAAGGCGCGTCAACAATTGACCACCGTCCTAGCCACTGAGTCACTCGCCGCCTTTCATTGAGAAGACTTTATAAAAAAAAACACCACCCGACCCCGCCCTGCCCCATTCCACCATCCTCTTCCCACCTTGAGCGCGCTGAGCAGGATGTGTATGGCGTCCTTGATCTTGTCGTGCATGGTGGCGTGCGTGAGCTCCTCGTACAGGTAGATGGCCAGCGAGACGAGGGCCGTGCAGCGGGCGGTCACTGAGGGCTCGCGGCGACCCGCCTTCAGTAGCACAGACACCACGCAGTCCTGGGGGAAGGGGAGCGGGAGAGTTACAACAGACAGCATACAGCCAGTGGAGCGGGCAGTCACAGAGGGCTCGCGGCGGCCCGCCTTCAGTAGCACAGACACCACGCAGTCCTGGGGAGGGGAGAGAAAGGTTAGAGCAGATAACATACAGCCAGAGCGAGCGGGCCGTCACAGAGGGCTCGCGGCGGCCCGCCTTCAGTAGCACAGACACCACGCAGTCCTGGGGAGGGGATCGGCAGGGTTGTGAGCGACATCAGAGTGACTCACACAGTCTTGCGAGTGGGTTGAGCTGCAATGTTCTCTTGTTAAATGCCACCGTACGCCGTTTTATAGCGATGAGAAGCCAGTTATTACTCCCATAAACAGTCTCGAGGACCTGTAGTACTGTTTTCCACACAGGTTTGAGGCACCCCTTTCCTTTAAATCCATCGTTAACACTGCCAGCGTCTCCCTACAGGGCCTCCTCTAACATACCCACTGGGTGGGCAAATGCCCACCCAGTCACCACAATTGCCCACCCAGTGGCGTCGATTTGCCCACCCAGTAGCAAATGCAAAAATCCTGGTCCGGCCGGACGTCCGGTACTACCTTTCTGGTCTTAAGCAAACTGGATGCTGTTTGAAGGTCAAAAAAAGTTTTCTGGTTGCCCGATATTCAGGGGCGTAGCCAGGATTTCCTCAAGGAGGGCGCCAACCGCACAGGGGCCCAAGATAACCCCCTCAAAATCCAAAAAGCCATCTGGTTGCATCCAATATTTTTTTGGAGGGAGCCCAAATAAATAGGAAAAAAATATTTATTAACAAAAATATTAGAACTTAGGGGGTAAGCAGTCCATGGGCCCTGTTAGATAGGCCCACGAATAGCTTCATAGAGTCGCCAGTCGGTTTTGAGGGCGGTCTGAGGGCCCGTAGGTCGGATGAGGGTTCTTCAGACCGTCAGAGGCCCCTACAGCGCATGAGAGCCTCGTAAGCCGTCTGAGGGTCATATAAGCCGCCTAAGGGCCACTAAGACCGACAAAAGCCCTCCTTGCACTTGCAGAGGCCCAGTCATGCCGACGGAGGGCTCTCTTAGACAAACTAAGGACCCGTTCAGGGCATTTGAGGGCTTCCTCAAACCGATAGGGCCCCCTCAAATCGACAGTGGATCCGATCCGAGCTCCCTCAAACCGATATAGGGTCAGACCAACAGTCGGAACGCATTGATTCTGTTTACACACCGTTGGACCCAAGTTGGACCCATCCCATCCAACTGGCCCCCTGGTTTCAATAGGGCCCCAAGGCTCTAAAATTGGGGCTCTCTTGGCCAAAGTATAACTACTCAGCTGTGTCAAAGGATCTACCGCAGGGGCCTTTATGTCGCCAAGGGCCCACTGTGTCAGCCAGGGGCCCCTATAGAATAAGGACCCCTGGCTTCCAGGGGGGGGGGGGGCATGGTCCCTTTGGCCCCCTCCTTGGCTATGCCACTGCAGGTGAGAAACGTTCTTCCAGGCGACCAGGGGGCAGGGGCCAGGCGACCAGGCCCCCAGGCGACCAGGGGCCCCCAGGCGACTAGCCCTCAAGCGACCGGGGCCCCCTAGGCGACCAGGGGCCCCAGAAAACCGGGGGTCATCGGATGAGTGCAGGGGCCCATTGGGTCATCAGAAGGCCAGAGAAATGAAACTTCGATATCAATTTTCTTCCGAGTAAAAGACGTTTTATCCAGTGTTTGAAAAAAATATCCCGGGGCCTGAGGGGCTCTCCCATGGCGCGTTTTGCGCTCAAGGGAGGGGGCCATTGCCCCCGTGGCCCCTCCCCCTTGGCTACGCCCCTGCCGATATTGTTATTCATGGACAAAGCCAGCTAAATCTCTAAATACGGCTGAGCTGAACAAATAAGCAAGAATCATTACCGGTTCGGGTAGCCTTTACTACAATGTATTATGTTAGTTAGCCCTCGCCCGATGAGGGGGGTTGATGCACCCCCCTAAGGTTTTTCACAAATAACGTAAAAACGGCGGCGCTCAAATTTCGCATACCCTCTGGGGCAACCTTTTGGCACTTGTCCTGAAAATTTCAGGTCTCTAGTCTTTTCAGGTCAGGTCACCAGGTCACAAACCCGGTACAAGGTCAGGGGAAAATTGGACTAACAGTTTAGCGGCAACCGAATGCCAGAGTTTTTCGTTGATAGCGTGAGTTCTATAGCACGTAGCGCTACCAAATTTAAGACACGACTTGGAGCATCTGTTTGTCACTTGGCCTTGGAGTTTTAGGTTCCAGTGACCCGAGGTCAGGTCACAAGGTCACAAAAACTGGTGCATTGTCAAAATAGCAAGAATACCGAATAAGAATACCTACCTACCACGCAGTTTGCAGAGGGCTGTAAATGTAACTCTGGAACGAATCGCTCGAGCATTGCTAACCATAAAACATACGACAAACGTTAACTTTGCAAACTATCATCTTATTTGCAATAACGGCACTGCTTATTTCGCCTCACCCCCGCCCCCCCCCCCGGTAACAGGTTATGAAATTGGTTGAACCCCAAAACAGTGGCTGGATCACGTCTGTCAAGACAGCCTCAGATTCAGATTCACTTTCAGAATCACATTCGGACCCCCTTAGATTTTCATAAAAACTGGTCCATGGGTACAGTTTTGGACGCTGATTCCAATGCTGAAGTCTGTTTTTCGCCACATATTATACTTTGGCCCCTAGAGGCATTCAAAGTTTTTTTTGGGGCGAAGGGGGACCCCCTTAGACTTTCATAAAAACTGGTCCATGTGTACAGTTTTGGACGCTGATTCCAACGGTGAAGTCTGTTTTTCGCCACATATTATACTTTGGCCCCTAGAGGCATTCAAAGTTTTTTGGGGGAAGGGGGACCCCCTTAGATTTTCATAAAAACTGGTCCATGTGTACAGTTTTGGACGCTGATTCCAATGGTGAAGTCTGTTTTTCGCCACATATTATGCTTTGGCCCCTAGAGGCATTCAAAGTTTTTGGGGCGAAGGGGGACCCCCTTAGATTTTCATAAAAACTGGTCCATGGGTGCAGTTTTGGACGCTGATTCCAATGGTGAAGTCTCTTTTTCGCCACATATTATACTTTGGCCCCTAGAGGCATTCAAAGTTTTTTGGGGGAAGGGGGACCCCCTTAGATTTTCATAAAAATTGGTCTATGTGTACAGTTTTGGACGCTGATTCCAATGGTGAAGTCTGTTTTTCGCCACATATTATACTTTGGCCCCTAGAGGCATTCAAAGTTTTTTTGGGGCGAAGGGGGACCCCCTTAGATTTTCGTAAAAACTGGTCCATGTGTACAGTTTTGGACGCTGATTCCAATGGTGAAGTCTGATTTTCGCCACATATTATACTTTGGCCCCTAGAGGCATTCAAAGTTTTTTTTTGGGGCGAAGGGGGACCCCCTTAGATTTTCATAAAAACTGGTCCATGTGTACAGTTTTGGACGCTGATTCCAACGGTGAAGTCTGTTTTTCGCCACATATTATACTTTGGCCCCTAGAGGCATTCAAAGTTTTTTTGTGGTGAAGGGGGACCCCCTTAGATTTTCATAAAAACTGGTCCATGTGTACAGTTTTGGACGCTGATTCCAATGAAGAAGTCTGTTTTTCGCCACATATTATACTTTGGCCCCTAGAGGCATTCAAAAAATTGAATGCCTCTAGGGGCCAAAGTATAATATGTGGCGAAAACAGACTTCACCATTGGAATCAGCGTCCAAAACTGTACACATGGACCAGTTTTTATGAAAATCTAAGGGGGTCCCCCTTCCCCAAAAAACTTTGAATGCCTGTAGGGGCCAAAGTATAATATGTGGCGAAAAACAGGCTTCACCTTTGGAATCAGCGTCCAAAACTGTACACATGGACCAGTTTTTATGAAAATCTAAGGGGGTCCCCCTTCGCCCCAAAAAAAACTTTGAATGCCTCTAGGGGCCAAAGTATAATATGTGGCGAAAAACAGACTTCACCATTGGAATCAGCGTCCAAAACTGTACACATGGACCAGTTTTTATGAAAATCTAAGGGGGTTCCCCTTCGCCCCAAAAAACTTTGAATGCCTCTAGGGGCCAAAGTATATGTGGCGAAAAACAGACTTCACCATTGGAATCAGCGTCCAAAACTGTACACATGGACCAGTTTTTATGAAAATCTAAGGGGGTCCCCTTCCCCCAAAAAACTTTGAATGCCTCTAGGGGCCAAAGTATAATATGTGGCGAAAAACAGACTTCACCGTTGGAATCAGCGTCCAAAACTGTACACATAGACCAGTTTTTATGAAAATCTAAGGGGGTCCCCCTTCGCCCCAAAAAAACTTTGAATGCCTCTAGGGGCCAAAGTATAATATGTGGCGAAAAACAGACTTCACCATTGGAATCAGCGTCCAAAACTGTACCCATGGACCAGTTTTTATGAAAATCTAAGGGGATCCGAATGTGATTCTGAAAGTGAATCTGAATCTGAGGCTGTCTTGACAGACGTGGCTGGATCCACCCTTGGGCAGGGGAGTAGCGAAAATTTTGCCCACCCAGTGAAAAATCCTTAGAGGAGGCCCTGTCTCCCTAGGTACTATCTCCATCTTCTCTTAGACTCCCGTCGTCGTCCCCAGCGCAGACTGACCTTCAGTTCGGGGCACGGCACGACGGTCATCTCGAGCGGCCGCGGCTGGAGGGCCTCCAGCTGCGGCCACCGGTTGGGGAAGCACACCAGGCTGCCCAGGATCGACACCGACTCGGTGCGTGGTACCTGTCAGGGGCGGGCGAGTTAGTCAGATGCCGGTCAGCGACGTCAGGGTAACAAAAGTCAAAGGTCGGCAGCGTGACAGTCATACAATTCTGAGCTCTGTGGGGCTAGGTGGTTGACCACTATCCTTCGCATTACCCCATGCAGCCTCTCGCTGGCCTACCTGGCCACTATTTTGCCCTGTTTTGCCCCTAACTGACCACTATTTCCTCACTCTCATCACTATTCGGTTACCCCTGAAGCTCGGTCTGGCTAGCCTATAGCCTTGGGCTAGCCGCTACCCTCTACTCACTCCCTGCAGCTGCTCCTGGCTTGCTGCTATCCCCCTAGTCCTTACTGACCCCTGCGGCTCCTGGCTGGTTGCTCTCCCTCACTCACCCCTGCAGCTTCTGGCTAGTAGCTACCCCCCCCCCCCCATGACTCATCTCTGCAACTCCTGGCTGCCGCTGACCCTCCCCAGTGACTCACCCCCTGCAGCTCCTGGCTGGCCGCGATGCCGCCACACGCCTGGATCAGGTCCAGCACGAGCAGCGAGGCGGCCGGCAGCTCTGTGGCCAATAGTCCGGGGCCACACTGGCGGACCAGGGTGTGTATCACGTCCTGTCTGCCAGAGCTCAGTCCGCGGTGCAGCGCGCGCAGCAGCTGCGCAGACACGGCCGCAGACACGGGCGCCGGCTGTCGGCGCACCAGTAGCAGACAGAGCAGCCGCAGCGCGCGCAGCCGGCCCGCCTGGTGTGAGTCGGGCAACCGGAGCGCCTCCAGACACCAGGGCACGAGCAGCGGCAGCGGCGGCACCAGCTCCGACGGCCACCAAGTCGACTGGTTGTCGGCAGACACGCCCAGGTTCTCCTCGATCTGGAGAGGGTAGGACACAGAACAGACAGCGGGTGAGTCGACAGCGGCCTCGTTGCGGTGAATGAAAGAACAGCTGGGGACGCCGCGCCGGTGGAAGATAGTCGGTGGTTTGAGTCATTGGAAGGGTCAGGACTTGCGAGAGGAAAACAGAGGACGGGAAAGGAGACTATTGATAGAGAAGGGACAGTAATGATGCTGATAACCGATGGCATGTAAGACACCAGCACACTCAGCACGGTACACAATTTCTCACTGTCGCCCCACCGTCCGACACAGTCACTGAGGTGCGCGGCTCGGCCCAAATGTCACACACCGTCACGCGGTCGCGTCGTGACGTCACTGGTCAAATGTCAGCTGACACCGCCCGGGGACAGCTGATGCGCGGCAGGCCCGGTATACCGGGTACATCTGGACTCGTCCGCCGGGAGCGAGGACGTTTAGATACACACGGCCGTGGTAAATAAACGGAGACGGCGGTGGACCAACACTGCCGGGAGTTTTATACAAACGTGTCGTATAAATGAGACATGGATATCATAATCAGAAGTGCGGGCGGCATTCCAGTAAAGACTACGGTCGGACGGTATTTCGCATAAGAGCAAAACCGGCAATGACTAAGCACTGACATACATTTTCAAATTGTTTATGCTTGTACCAAATAGGGCCGACAAGTGTACGTCTTTTCTCGTACATGCATTCCCAAGACATTCACTTCGCTAATTCTATACTTCTATTCAACTGGGTACTTCAACGGGCTAATTAACCATCCGGCATTCGCCACCGGGCTCACACGTTGAGATATCGTATATTCGATTCATTGTAGACCCACCAGTCAAAGTTTGACGAGCGTCCCGCCATCATCTCGCATTTCAACGAGCATCTTCCTTCTCACCCTCGTACTATGACTAGCTTCCCACCCGTGACCATCACAACTTTACTATTTACATAGCTTCCCTCTCACCAGCATATCTTGACTATCACCCCTCCAACCCTAATAACATAACTACCACCCGTCCCACCCTCGTACCTTGACGAGCGTCTCGCTGAGCTCGATCAGGTAATCGAACACCTGGGCGTGCACTATGGGACTCTGGATGTGGTTGACGTTTCCCAGCGCTCCCAGCATACGACGCCAGAGTACGACGGCGACGTCGGGCATCCAGCCGCGCAAAGTACCGCCCGACATCACGGAACGGTGCTCCGAGCCGCCGCTGTCGATAGTGTCTGTAGGAGGGGTCAGAGGGGAGTCAGGAGGATGTCAGCGGGGGTCAGAGGGGGTTAGAGCGGGGTCAGAGGTGGGCCAGAGTGTCACCCGACATCACGGAGAGGTGCTCCAAGCCGCCGCTGACTATTGTGTCTGTGGGAGGGAGGAGGGTCAAAAGGGGGTCATAGATGTCAGTGAGTCAGGAGGTTACTTGGGAATTCGAAATGACTAAGCTTGGATTGCGTCAAAAGACTGATCTTACAGAACAACCGCGAACGTCACTCTCGAGAATCAGTGATGCCGCAATTTCATTTTATCCTAGATCAGTACACTCTACATTATAATTCATCTCACATTTACATCTCCCTCGCTCTTATTCAGTTCTAAGCTACCCCTCGCGGGTCCGTCAGCCCCTCTGCCCGTCCTCACCGATGCTGTTTCCGTCAGCGCCGAACAGGTCCAGCCCCATGGGCGACTCTTTGATCGAGTTGGTCTCCAGGCCGCTGGACGGCGATGGGGACCGGGACCGGTACTCGGCCTCAGAGGTCTGAGAGTACAGCGACACTGGAACACGGCCAGTGTCAGTGTCAGTGACATAATCACTGTCAGTGACAGAGCCAGTGGAACGGGAGACAATGGGTCAATCAGTAAGAGCTGGAACAGATCGTCAGCGAGTGTGGTATAAAATCATGCTGAGTGATTTTAGTCATTTAAAAACTAAGCAGTTAACCTTCTTCCACACCAGAAAGGTATGAAGAAAGGATAGCCCCCTGTACGCCACCCTCCCTCCCCTGTCACCCACCACTTCCTTCCTCTCCCCATACCAGCACTGCACTCACCTCTACCTCTGAGTGAGTTCATACTCCGCGACACCTTCCTACTCGCTGCCTCGTGCAGCGGCAGGGGTCGGCACGCCGCTGCGGCCGCCGCCGCGCCGGGCGGGGGCGGCGGCGGCGCCAGGTCCACAGCCAGCAGACTGGGCGCCAGACTGCCCTCGGACAGACTGCGCACCAGTCTGGGCGGCGCGTGGCCGGGCCCGTGCGGCGGCCCGCCCGCCGGACCCAGGCCGCTGGTACACCGCTTACGGGCGTGTGGGGAGACACCCGGGTGGCTGCCGCCAGAGCCTGCCGGAAGAGACGCCTCGGGTCAAATAGGAGTTTGAAACGCTGGACTGTCATCGCATTTAATTTTCTCAAAATCATGAAGCAATGCCTTGATAAAAAATGATTTGGGACCAGTTGTGCTTTACCTCCAAAACGACTACAAAATGAATAAAGTAAAAACAAAATGGGGCATTTGAAGCTACAGACACAAACATTGAAACCTCGATAGAAGGCATACTATCCCGCCCTAGCCCACTCCTCTACTAACCGTGGTGGAGCCTCCCATCCTCCGGCGGCTGCAGGGACGCGCGCCGGTTCCGGTTGTGCCCCACGCCCAGGCCGGGCCCGTCACCGTGGTCCCGAGTCTCGACGGGCACCGACGGACGAGACCACGCCGCCGCCGGCTGAAACGACAGAGGACACGGGCATTATCGTGGTTGGCGATCCTATTGTAATCTAAAGACCAAGTGCGTGTGTGGTGTGGTATTAGGCTCCATAGCTTTATTTTTACAAGCCGCAAACATTGAACGAAAGGTGAACAACAGCACTGCACCACATTTCACCCAGTACTCACAATTTTTCTCTCGGGAACTGCAAGAACATTCATTCGTTCTGTGCAATTATGTACGTGTTAGTCTTGGCTCCTCAAACTCAACTCAACTCATTTATTTTAGGTCCTGGCACGCTATCCATACTAAAAAAACTACACATCTTTCCTCTAGTCTCCTTGCACGCCTGATACTCTTGACCCTCCCCGCCATCCTAAAACCCCCTCCCCACCCGGCCGTCCAATGGTGTCCCTCTACAGGGTGGAAAATACATGTTCGCGTAATTATTACGCGAACATGTATTTTCTTACAATTTTGACCGTCAGTGGAGCATTTTTATGAGTACGGGCTGTCATGGAACATAATTGGTCGTGTTTGTTGTCGCCTCATCTACCAAAAGTGACTTTACTTTGAACAATGACCTGGAAGGTCTTAACAACCTCTCGACTTAAAATGGTGCAGACAACATACGCTGCACAAGACCGAAATGGGCAAAGAGCTCAATTTGGAGCTGCCAGGGAAAGCGTTTGTGATTATTTTCGCTGGACTGGCGGAGAAGGGATTCGTAGCGGTCTCAGCACCAGCATTGCACAATTATACGTTTTTTTTTTTAAACATAATAACACTTGAGAGGACTTAAAAAGCAAAGCCGTCCGCGGCAGCAACCTCTCGGCGAATTCTGTCGCCGGATGGGTGGTCACCATGTCGGCGAAAAAACGACGCCAGTCGACCCGAAAACTGGCAAAATAGCTTACTCTGGCCGGGTACCCGATCTAGGATATCACGATTCGCACAGTAATACGCAAAAATTCGAAAATTAAGTCGTACAAACCCTCGGGATGACCAAAATTCACAAATTAACAGCAGAATTGTCAATTGAAGCTTTTCAAAGACAATCAAAGATGGACAGAGGAGGACAGGCAGCTGGATTTGGGGTTGGGTGAGACATCTGTGAAACTGTTTCATCCGTCAAACCTGCAGAACAACTGCTCTGAGGGCTGCTGTTGCGTCCTATGTCCCGTCCGTCCCAACCTTCAAACATCCGGCAAAGGAACACATCAGTGGGTCACGAGCCCCCGGGTGGTGTCAGAATTGCGTGTAGCGCTAAAAAAGGTCACTAAAAATAAAGTATACAACCGGTGGAACATCCTCCAAGACGAGTGTCTCTGTCTAATCCACCGTGCAACGAAAGGGGCAAAATGATTGAACGCACTTTTGTGCCCGACGCAAAGAAACTGCTCTTCGTGATTGGTGAAATGCTTACTTTCATGGCCAACAAAACGCAATACTGGTGCTGTGAGAACCTGTTTTTCTTCAGGACATACAAAAGCTGATCTGGGAAACGCCTGGGCCTCAATTCGACTAAAAATCTCCAGATGACTCCTCAGGAGACCGTCTAAAAGCTGCAAGGAGCCACCAATACCGATTACCTCACTGGACAGCTCTATAAGGTGTGGGCTGAGCTTTGGCCAACAGATCTTCACATGCTGATGTAAATCATGCCGGAACGCCTATGTCAATGCATCGCAACTAGATAAGGATAAAGTAAAACATATATTGTTTATGTCACCGCCGTTTTTTTCCTTACTAGAAGACGAAAAAGTATGTTCGCGTAATTACTTTCCACCCTGTAACCTCACAGTCCCACACCCCCGGTAACCCCCCGACTCACGTCCTGTGTCTCTCCCCGGCCGCGGCGCCGTTTGCTTTTCTGTTCCGTGAGCCGGTCCAGCGGCAGGTTGTTGAGGTCCAAATCGTACACCTGACGCGCCACCACGCGAGTCAGCGTCTCCAGCGTTTTCTGCGTGCATCAGAGATGGTCGTGGGTCAGGCGAGAACAGGGCAGCTGCAGCGAGGCTGAACGTAGCTCAAATGAGCCTGTAAAGTGATATCAAGCTTCCTAAGCACGTCAAGACATTGCTAAAAAGGGAAAGTAAAGAAAAACAGCGTCAAGTTTTCGGTAGACTTGAAGGATTTTAGAACCGGAAAGTTTTATACCGAATCAGCATAACACTGTAAGACAACTGAAGGTTAACTTGGGCCATTAGATAATCTAACATACGATAATCTGACATTCAGCTCACAGCACGTCTCTGTAATCGACCATATGAACAGTGAGAGAGGTACTCCCCAAACGTGCCGCGCTACTCACCGCCCACTCCTTGATGAGCTCCTCCCAGGCGGTGAGCGATGAGAGCGCCGCCAGAAACTGGTCCCACAGCTCCACACTCACAGAGACGTTCAAGTTGGCCTTGACCCAGGTCACTATCAGCGTCTGTAGCAGAGAGGTCAGGTCAATTACAGAGACGTTCAGGTTGGCCTTGACCCAGGTCACTATCAGCGTCTGTGGAGGACAGGTCGGGTCAGGTCAGGTCAGTTACGGAGACGTTCCGGTTCAGGTTGGCCTTGACCCAGGTCACTATCAGCGTCTGTAGCGGAGAGGTCAGTTCAGGTCATGTCAGCTGTCCTGTACCTGCGGCAGCGGTCGGGGACGGTCAGATCGGGTTGAGTCAGGTCAGCCCAGGTCAGGGCCATGTGTCTTGTGCCCGTCGCGGCGGTCAGGTCAGGTTAGCCCCTCCTCCCTCTCGGCGATTACTCAGTCTGCGCCCGTTGGCGTGTTGGACCGTCTCGGCCGGGCCGCCTCACGGCTCCAATGACAGCCCGAGGCTCAGTCCTCACCTAGTCTTAGGCCAACGACCGGCGGACACCGCCCACACTGGCGGCGGCGACCGTCGGTCACGCCTGATAGAATCACGACATGGCTTTGGAGTAAAACTTCGCAGAAACGCTTCAAGTTACGTTTTGAGCAAAACACAGTGCAAGTGTTAAATAACAGTAATAACAATAGAGAAACCACTTCGTTTATAATACTGAGTAAAACACACGTGTATCTACTATCTACAGTATCGAAGTAAGCAGGAGCGTTTACCTGGAAGAGCGGCCGAGCCAGGACGGCGCCGAGGGTCTGCTCCCGGGCCCTCTGAGTCGGTTCGCCCGATAGGGTCTGAGTGGTGACCTGGAGCAGCACCAACAGCAACTGCTCCCTGTGAAAGGAGTCAGGACGGGGACTCAGTGGTGACCTGCAGCAGCACCAACAGCAACTGCTCCCTGTGAAAACGGCCGGGAGAAAAAAAGAATTAAGCACTAACAACTGGAGCTTCTCCCATTAAGGCGTTGGTAATTTGGAAGCCAAACAGTAAGCAATTATATGCTCCCAGCGAAAAGGTAAGGGGGTACGGACGTGATGGTGACCTGGCTGATGACGACATCCAGATACACACGATGCTTGTGAAACAGCCGGGGAAACAAGAATGGCGACCCAGAGCAGGCCGAATGATAAATAAAAATGCAGCTGCTTCCTGCGAACTAGCATGGGACGACAGCTGATGACAGCCAATGGACATTCCATGTAAAGCATCGCAGTAAGACCAAGCACGATTATCCGGTCCTTACAACAGAACACCAAGTTACAACCGTCCTTTCCATCAAAACCTAAAAACATTTTGTGATGCTGCAATGAGGCACAGATACGGATAGCGCTTACACATCAGAATAAAATCAGAGCAAATATTATTACGTTTATCCATATTGCATTTCGATACTGTTTTATCTGGAGAAGTCAGTCAAACACCACAAGAAGAAGTCAGTCAAGCCCCAAACATCAACTATCAAAATATTTGCCCCTAAATCACACTACCACTCCCCAGCTCCCACCCACCACCGAGTCAGAGGACTAATTCAGCCAGGACCCGGCCGCCCGGTCCACGCTCACTCACCAGGTGCGCTGCGACATGTAGACGTTCATCACCAGGTAGCGGTACATGTTGAGGATGCGCTTACAGAGCTCCACCTGGTCCTCCAGATAGTGGCCGCGGTACTCGGGGCTCGCCTCCAGCAGGAAAATGTTGGCAGAGTTGGTGATGAACAACTGCAGAGTGTTCTGATGGACGATCCGGAGGGAGGGCAAGGTAGGTTAATGGCAGTTTGGGTTATCTGGGATGGAGTGGGGTTGAAGAAACGATGCTGAAAGATATTCAGGCAAAAGCGTAGAGCTGACAGTATACTTTTGCAGTATACTTTGTTCTTTCAAAATATGAGACGATCAAATATCATTCAACTGACGTCTAGCCGTGCTAAAAGCCGTAACAGGTAGCTGTGTTCGACGTCATTAGCTGGAAATGTTTTTCGTCCCTGCATAGCGAGCGAGGCTGCACTCTGTGCTGTGGGTGCCCTAGATCACCTCAAACCAGATCCGCTCCCAATCCCAGCCATATCTGGCACAGATCGACCACATAAAAATCACCGGCGCCGCCAGCTGACCGATCTCGTGATACTATTGTTAACCCCGCACTCGCTGGAGCTATTGCGCTTTTCCCGCCGAATTTTCCCGGCTGCCGCTGTCACCGACTCTCAGCTGGGTGCGGGCGGCAGAGAACAGCCCCGGCGCGTCGAGCTGTGTCCCTGTCCCGGTCGGGGGACAGTACTGACCTGCAGGCCGGCCCGGACGCTGGCAGACGGTCCCCCAGAGCCGTCCGCGCGGTGGCGGGACCGGCTCAGGTCACCCACGTCCTGCCGGGTCAGGGAGAGGTCAGAGGGTGAGGCTTCATCCACAGACAGGGACGGCGTGGGGGTTGAGTAGGGAAAACATTGATGATCATGAGTATACTGTATGTATACAGCGTGAGAAAGAAGGACGAATATCACGAAATTACGTGCATACCACTAGCCGGCTTACCGCGCAGTAGAAGAGAATAACTAGTTACCACATTGGTCCTATTTTTTCATCGCACATTACGTCACACGTTACTCCACGCTCCCACTAGACCTGCATCTCTTTGGGTCACCTTTCGGCTTTCACACATCCCTCAACATGACCTGTGCCCATGAATCCCCTGGGATGCATCTCACTCCCATCGTTATACTCACCTCTCCCGGCGCCGGAGACCTGCCATCATACCCGCCGCCCGTGTCAGACGGCTCCAGCAGGAACGCCGGCAGCTGAACCTGTCAAAGAAACAGCACACATGTCACACTTTGAGAGACTAACTAGCACGTACGCCCGTGTCAGATGGCTTCAGCAGGAGCGCCGGAAACCTGTCAACACGTCAATACATATGTCACCGGGGATGTTTACCTGTCGGCGCCACAAAACAGAGCCGTCATAATTCATTCTGTCATGCAAAGGCAAAGACGATAACGTTGGGTCAAAGGTCACCCGAACGTGAGTCTTTGCCTTCACACGGCATCATTAAAGGGAGCCTGAGTCTGCTAGCACCGGCGTCACGGTAATCACACCGACTTTTCTATTGCAAACGGCAACAAAGTAAGCAAAGCCGTGAGCGTCCTGAAGGGATTCAACGTTGTCAGTCATCTGTCTTTGAAATTTGCATAAAGTTTATTGTTTGTTTATTGGGGCTTTAGGGCGCGCCGACTGCAAAGGTCATTTTGCGCCCAAAATTTGCATAAAGTTCGTCTTCTGTCATCTTCATCAGACGCGCCACCATCATTTCATTAGACACACATCCCGTCCTCGAATTTCCATCCACACTCCTTTCTACACAAGCCCACATAAATTATCAGGTACAAAGGCCAGCTGACAGACAGCAAAACACAACAAACCCCCATCCTAGACATGACCCAGCCAGCCGCCCCATCAGTCGTCTACGACAGTCATCAACCTCTGTGGCTGCCAACTACCCCGACCACGTCATCTCCACATCCGACCTCGCAACTAGGCTGACACATCCTGTCCCGGGTGTGAGTGCTGGGAAGGGGCGGCACCGGACTCTGTTTGGTTAGAGGCAACAACCGCTGTGGGAGCTGCCAAGGTAAACTGATACCGTGTGTGGGATGACACACGTCCGGTGGCGAGGGATTGGCGCATGGAGCGGTGGATGAGTTCATGGTGGGGCGAGAGGAGGGCAGGTGGACAAGAGAATGAAGGAATGACTGCGATTGGAGAAGAGTAGGTGATGGGACTGGCATTGTAACCTGACAGGGCGACGGGTGATTTTTCAAAGTAAGGTAGGTCAAACCCGTGCAAGACTGCAGTGCATGACTGCAACACACTGTGCAGTGTGCAGTGTGCATGCTCGGGCCGCACAAGCCCCATCGAGGAAAATTCGAGGACGATGCGGCTGCTAGGAGGAAAAAAAACATTCTAATCCACCTAAGAATCCAAAAATCGGATCAATGTACCCTTTTCACCCTGAAGCCCCGCCCCCATTCATCGCTCCTCCCTGCCACTCTACCCACTCTCTTCTCCTTCCTCTCCCTCTCCCCTCCGTCACTCACGTTCATCTGGATCCAGTCCTTGTAGACGAGCACCACGCGTTTGATGGCGGCCGAGTAGTGGCAGCTGAGCAGAAATGCCTGCCGGAACACCTCGTGCACAAAGTTGACGTTCTGCCGGCTGCCGAACAGCACATCACGCACCAGCGCCGATTCGTCCGGACGGTCGGCGTCCCGGTCCCGGGTGTCACTGCCGGACGGTGCAGTAGGGGTCAGCAGAGGTCAGCAGAGGGTCAACTCAGTACAGACTACAGGGTCAGCATGGGTTACCTGAGGTCACCAGGTGTTACTAGAGATAACAGAGATCAACACGGGTCTTTTATGGGTTATCATGGGAATGGGAGCGAAGGTTGAATTTCCTTTTAAGAAACAATATATTGCTTCCAATAAAACATATTGCAAACACCGGTGGGCTACAAAAAAGGAGAGAAAAAAGCAACAAGTCTTCTGGAAGGGCAAAGCAACGTCCAGATCGTCCGCATTGCTCCCATACCGTGCCTGACACTGATCCTAAGCGTGGGGCCACTGGGGAGTTACATCAAATGTCGGCGATTTCCGAACCACTGAAGCAAGCCATCCAATACACAAGCATCACTCGTCACAGTCACGGCTAGATAGCCGGCGTGGGAGATTGCCAAAACCGAGCTATTCACGCTGATGCACTCCAACCCAAGCAACAGATTTAGCCAAACACAGTAAGCATGCATGACTTGCTCAGGGCCTAGCGCCCGATCAATGGCAGCGTAAGAGTGGTTAGCTCCCGACAGGACACGCTGATGTAATCGCCTTCACTCCCCCAGACCCCAGAAAGTCAAGCTGGAGTAAGAAGTTACAGATCGTGTCATTAGCTAATGTGGAGTAGAGCTAATATGCTGCTGCAAACGACCTATGTTGCTGGTTACAGAAACATGCGGTTAGTTGGATTGGCGTATTGATAAAACAATTGTAATATCGGAGATCAGCCCCAATAGAAAACTAACGACAGGCCAGAGCGGAAACATGTCGCTGCAATTACGTACTTTTGTTTGAGGCTTTTTGAGGAGGTCATTATTTGTAAGTGGCAATTCATTTGTGCAGCGTCGATGCAATGCCTATCGGAATACAAAGGACTTCTAGTACATACGTGCATAGTCTTAGCCACAAAGCATGCAAATGAAATATGTCACGCACTTGTAACAACTGTATGCACGCAACTATCCCGTCCATTTCCAACTTTTCCAACCACCTCAACCCCACGCACCATGCACCCCCCCCCCCATCCCCGTCGTACACCGGGTAAAACGCCGAGCCGCTCGAGTCCGAGGCCAGACTGTGCAGGGAGGTGGGCGCCTCGCCGTCTGCCGGTCCGCCGCCGCCGGCCGGGGGGACTGAGCGGCGCGTCTCTGGCGTACCCTGACTGCCGTCGTCGCCGGAGCCGCCGCTGCCGCCGCCGCTGGGGGGAGAGAGGACGGACCATAGCCGGGACGGTCACACACGGACGGACACGGTGTCGGACGGACCAGAAACATGACTCCGATACATAGATATGGACAAGGAGACGGACATGAACCCAGGCAACGCAGCGGAACCCAGGTACGGGCCCGGAACGGACGTCAAGTCCTCCTACGGACAAACAAGCTTCGTTTGTCCTTAAGCTTCTACAATCCACGGGAATGGGCAGACATGGAGCCCAGACATGAACACCAACAAGGGCGCATGACGTAGGGAGGTCTAGCACAAAGACGCAGAGACGGATGCGGATTCCAGACACGAAAACAGAGCCAGGACAAAACCGAAGAAACGGACATAGATCCCACACATGGACATAAAGAATGCAGACACATGGACGGAACCTAAATACGAGCTTGGACCCCGATACGGACCCAGAAACGGACGCAGAGACGGACTCGGGACTAGACGCGTATACAGATATGATTATGGTACCCTAACGTTGCTAAATGCACAAAGAAACAGAGCTGGTTCTCCATTTAACCGTAGATTAGCAGACAACTAAGCAGGCTGAGTCAGAACGACATAGAAGCAGCAAAAGTCCAAAGGTGATAATCAAAGAGGTCAAAGATCAAAGAAACGTCGTCCAGCTGATAGCATGAGCGTATACGTGGAAATTTTTCAATATCTTATAGCTAAATACTAGACTGCAAAGTTGTCTTCGAAGTAAAGCACAAGACAAGGTCACCAAGATATAAAAGCAGTCAAAGTGAGATGTGGGAAAACGTATCAAACTGCTTACTATTTTTGCATAAACAAGTTAACTCTAAAGTAGCAACGAATAACGATTGCTGCACACCCATGCCACTGAATATTGAGACCATGATTCCGAGCGATTCCCACGCATCCAGCGATGCGTGAAAACCACCGATTCGGCAGCCCGTGAGAAGACAGCGGGGATTAACTGCCGACCGCTTCCGGCGCTGTGGATTGCCGAACCCCCAATCGGGGCTCAGTGCAGCGATTTCACGCCAATTGAAGATGAATGGGCTATGCAATGAGCTTCGACGCTTGTCAGACAACGGCAACTGAGCTTTGCTTAAACTGGACGATTGTGCAATTCTGAGGAGATTGCACTGACCACCCGTATCAATATTGCTCTGTGCCAGCATCAAATGCCATCGATTGAGTTTCAGCAAAGTCTGTATATACCGCGATAGGGCATACATCTATTATCTATCACTTATGACAAAGGTCACACAGATACCAACGTCAAAACGTCAATTCAATGCGCCTTACGGCCCTATTACAACCACCGAACAAAACCAACAAAGCACTCCAAAGGACAACGCGAAACAAAACACACCCGGACATACAACCAAAGCTCCAATTGTCCCCACAATTCCCACACAACCTCTGTAGAGCCAGGACGTACAACCAAAGCTCCCTCCTGTCCCTCGCCATTACTGGACAGGCCGGACATACAACTAAAGCTACAGTCCCATCCCCCCACATCCCATCCCACTCTCTCGTCCTCTCTCGCTCACCCGGACTGCTGTCCATGATGTCCGGGCCCGGGCCCGCTGGGCGCCTGCTCCCCTCTCCGACTGAGCGGTGCGTGTACAAAGTTGGCCACCCAGCGGATCACAACCACTCGACAGGCCACCAGACGGTCGGCCGGCCGCGGCGCGCCGTCCACCGAGCTGGCCATGGGAGACAGCTGGCGGCGCATCTCCGGCAGACCTGGCGCGTGGTGGTGGAGGGGTCAGAGCAGGGGCCGAGGCACAGAGGGTAGGACGAGGTCAGAGAGGGGGCGCAGTGCGGCGTAGCTCGGGCAAACCTGGCGCAAAGAGGCGGCGGGAGGGTCAGAGAACGGGCGGAGTACCACAAACCTGGCGTGGTCAGTGGTCATGTTAAATCTTCACGAAATCACTCTAACCCTCGTCTCATACTTTTCTCATTTACACATCGTCAGCACGCCAATATTTTAAGCACGTGTATCTTTAGTTCAACCATCACATAGTTCAATTCAATATTCACTGACAAAGTTCGGGGGTAATACCCCAACCCCTGCCACACTGACCTCTCCTAGTCTGGCCCTCCTTTCCTCCCTTTCTTCTTCTCCGTGCCTCCCCTCCCTTCCTCCCCCAGTCACTCACTGAGCGCCGGTTTGTACAGGTTGGTATGCCAGTTGAAGTCAGGAAAGATGTGCGGCAGGTAGAACTGCTTGAAGTTGTCGAACAGGAAGTTAAAACAGCGCACGTGGTTGGCCTTGTCCTTCCACTCGATCCGCGTCAGCTGGTGGAAAGAAACAGTGACGTCATATAAAAACACATCAGTGACGTCATTTGACATATCGGTGGGGAAGTAGTGTTATTGAGAAGATCATGGGTTAGTGAAATCTTATTCAGACCGATCAGCCTGTAGAAGCTGTTATCACTGTATCGATCAACATGATAGGTAATGACGTCATTGAACGGCTCGATACGATAATGACGTCACAGGCCCGATCAGGGGTGAGTCACTGTGCGAACAGACGGTCGACGCGCCCTGTAGGGCGGGGTCTGTTTGTTCACGGGGCGCGCCGTTTGCCGACGCGACATTACACCGCGGTCGGCGCGGGTTCCAGCTAGTCTGCACATAGAGCAGGCGGAAACAGGCCCAGGGCCGATAACATGGTCACGGCCGTATCAGCACAGGCGAAAGTCATGAAAGGTAACACTTCGGCTGAATGCAGATCTTAGGATAAAGCAGCAGGGTTTACATTTCAACAGGTGCACTGCATGTACCACGATAATCAGGGAAGTCACACACAATGATAGCCAGTAAATTAAATCACCCGGGCATACCTGCTCGTGATCATTCAGGCGGTGAACAGCGTTCACCAGCGCAGGTTGACCTACCTGGGTCACCATGTTATCCATGAGGCACTCGAGGAAGAAGCGGGTCAGGTCGTCGGGCGTTTTCTCCGAGCCCTGAGGCGGTAGAATGGGCACCACGTCGACCGGACCCACTGGAAAGGCGGGGACGGGAAGTGTCAAACTTTCGGCATTGGGCATCACACTCAATACAGCGCAATCACACGGAAGACGGCAAACATAAATTCACACACTCATTGTCAAATTAAGACAACAGCCGAACTTTCATCTGCAACCTAATCCATTCTCATTACAATAATTCATTGTTGTGCGTTCCAGCACACCATCGAATTGATACAGTACACTAAAAAAAATGTGGTTCATTAGAGTACAATGGCAACTGGCACTTTAACCGCATGTTATCTTCCAAAACAAACATACCACCTTCATGACGGCATGACGCCCAATTCCCGTCCACCGGCTCAGTCCTGCCCCGCCCACGGTGTCTTATCACCACACCCATCACGGTACCTACACCTGCGGCCGATAAGACCGGGCGGCGTTTCCGGCTTCCGCGCGGCACAGTCGCCGTCGCGCTCTGTTTCCCTGAGGGAGCCGGCACCGCCCGCTCGGCCGGACCCGAAGCCTGTATCTGTCAAGCCCCGGTCTCCTCAGGAGTCGAGATTTGTAGCTGAGTATACATTAGCGCTAGAAAAGTAATATCCCCGTCCGCTCGACCGGACCCTTAGCCTTGCCTCCGCCAAAGCTAAGGGTACCTCCTCCTAGGCTCCGTACCTCCGTCAAGTCCTAGTCTCCTCAGAAGCCGAGGTCTGACAGTGGCTATGTCCCTTCCTCTCCCTCTCCTGCCAGCCCAGCTGCTGAGAGCTCACCGAGCTTATGATCCGGGTGGGCCCGGGGCGGGCGGGGCGCCGTCTGCTGGGAGGCCGGCGCCGGGAATCCAGGCACCAGGGTGGCGAAGATGGCCAGCAGCTCCTCAGAGGCCTGTTCACCCACCTCCTGGAACCAGATGACGAACATCCTGCCGACGGAGAGGTCAGAGGTTAGGCCGAGGTTAGGTTAGAGGTCATCGGGCGCATCACTGACCGCATCCAGTCACAAGTCGGTCATCAGCAGACTCATTTGGAACCCTTCAATCGTGGATCAGCCGTCACGAGCTGAACAATAAACCGCAATAAACAAAGCCGTCAAACACTAGGTAGTGTCTAATCTCTCGCCCAGCCCCCAGTCAGATATCGAGCCGTCACGAAAACGTCACTCGCTGACTGTGTCGTCACACTGTCACGGTCCGAGTCCGTCACGAATCGGTCGGTCACGGCACCGTCGTCGCACGGCCGTTTCATAGCTCCGGAACACGTCTCACGGACCGGTCACGGATGTGAGTCCCGAACCACGAGCACATACAAACTCTGCGGCCGCCGGTAATTCAAGGTCACAGACGACTCCTGCGAACTGTGAAGGTCTACCCTTACGGTGGACGTTTTCACTTTCTAAATTCATGTTTTTCAACTCCTCAATTTAAAAGGAAACGTTTCCGAATAATCCCTTGCAGATAAAAGTACCGACTAAATTGGAAATGTGTGATGCTTTTTTAACAATATCTTGTTCCGAAATAACAAATTAGAGTTCCAAAAACTTATCTGTTTCGAAGAAAATGTACTGGAAGCGATGTAACGAAAGCCAATATAAAAGTTAAGGCCAGACGGGTAAGAAAATAACTCTAGATTTCAAATAGTAAAACTTTCGTTTGTAGAGGTTTGTGTGGTTTTGAGACAGCCCACGGTCACTGCAGCGACCCACTCCCGAATTGGACACACTTTCAGTTCACGGCTGAGCCGAAACAAAGCCCAGTTGATAGGGTCGGTCACCGCCCAGCGAAACCGAGTCAATTCAACATACAGACCAACTATTAACCCTAGAACGCCTAGGGGGGGGGGGGGGTTGTATCAACCCCCCCCCCCTGAGGTTTTTTCGAAGTGCACGCTTAACAGCTTGTCGTAGCGGGCTGAAATTTTCAATACCCTCTGGGGCAACCTTTGCGCATCTTTTGCCGAAAAAAAATTGATCGGGTCATGTCAGGTCACGGAGTTATGACGTCATAAGAGGTACAGCCTCCGGCCGACAGTTACCAAACGTGTGCGCCGAATCCCTAGGTTTTCTGCCGGTGATACCCACATTGTTTGATGGATCATGATGAAACTTCCCATGCATGTTGGGGCAAGCATTGGCTATCGTGTGGTGCAAGAAAATTGACCGGGTCAGGTCAGGTCACGGAGCTATGACGTCACAAGAGGAACAGCGTCCGGTACTATTTTTGAAAAGCGCCCGAACCACTATTTTGCTAATTCTTGTCACCTTAATGGGAATATGCAGCAATATTAGCTTCTATAGGGAGCAAATGGACCTCCCAAATCCAAAAATACAATCAGATTTCAAAAATTTAAATTTTGATTTTTCGAATTTCTGCCGCCGACTGTGACCTTGCCGACTTCCGGCGCTCCCAACGCGCCATTTTTAGAGCTAGGGAAACGAAATACATACCAAACGATAGAGAATTGATCAAGGAACACGATAGTGAAGGTTTCAAGTCGATATCTCCCACCGTTTTGCCGCAATCGCCGCGGAAAGTTAAAAAGTTTGATTTTTTCGGAAAATTTGACCTTTGACCGGTCATAAGTAGGTCAAATGTTGACCTAGGACCAAAAAATATACCACCAATCGCGAGATCTCGTTGAGAGCAATCCGTTGGTTTTTTCCGCTAAGCTCTACGACCTTCCGTTTCGAAACGCCAGGGGGGGTCGTAACAACCCCCCCCCCCCCTGGTCGTTCGTGTTATGAGAAATGGCCTGGTCGTGCGAGGGTTAACGGAGCGGGCGACTATTCCGGAACCGTGCTCACTGCTCAGGCGCTCAGGTGTCGGTGAAGAATGTCTCAGTGCGATGAGAAACCTTTCCCGCAGTGCAGCACTCATCCTAAACCACCATACAAACCTCGAGTGTTGTTGTAAATATCAGCAGCATATCCCTAGTCCCTTCCAGTCAGCTGAAAGTATCCTCCGCGTTTCCAGTAGCTTTGCTGTCTCGTCTCAATGGCCACCGTACCCTGTAGGACGTACTCCCTGTCCCCCCAAAACACAAACGCTCCTCCCCCTCCCGGCACACTCACCTCATGGCCTCCCTGCGCAGCCGCAGGATGTTTCCCGGATGGAGGAGGGTGCGCATGACGCGCGTGAGACTGTGGAGCTGCCAGCGCTGCTGCAGCAGCTCGGGCAGCAGCAGCAGGATGTGCTCCAGGATGTACAGCACCGACTCCACGTCCTCACGATGCACGCGGTGCGCTGTACGGGGAGAGGGGGCGTCAGAGGGGTCGAGTGGGGGGGGGGGGGGCACTCCGGGTTCTATAGGAAAACCGAGCTGTCAGCGGAGTGGGGTGAAAGAAGCAGTGTGACATCACACAAAGGAATGAGCTGTAAGACCTATGATATGAAAGAATGCTACAGCCTACATAGATGGAATTGGAGGACATGATCCTCGGGAAGCAAAGAAAAGATGACAACAGTCAAAAGAGAGGTGGGTTTTCGAATCAACTGTTACGACGAAAAACGAACAATTTAAAGACAAAAAGTTCGAATTCCAATAAGACAGCACTGGGAGACTCACGTTTGATTTTGACGCCGGCCTCGGTGGCAGCGAAGACATCGTAGAAGAGATAATAGATGTGGCTGTAGTGGGTCTCGAAGATGTACCGCGCCTCCACCAGGTCGACGTTCTCTGAAATCACCGGCGCGATGGGTGTCAGAACCGAGCGTAATTCGGACAGGGCACGGCACTGTTTCAAATGGACGGGGTGAGAAAATGCCACCCCAACCCCTGAAAGCTAGAAAACAAGGCATTCAGCAACGCAGCAATAAGCAGAGAACGACCTTCCAAAAAGTGGATTATGGAAAGAACTTCTGTCCTTTTTGCTGAGCACAAAACAGCGTCCTTAGGCTCCTAGGGGTCATCCAAAGTCAAACTTGGATTAGGTACCGTATGGATTAGGATTTATGGATTAGGTAACTTTATGGATTGGGTCATTCAAAGTGACCTGGTGACCTGACCTTAAAAGTTAGGAGGTTCAAACTTGCACACCATGTGTAAAATTGATGAGAGAATAGTCGGACCAAATTTCATAGCGCCGCCGGTTTTCCCGCTATTTGCGAAAAACCTCGGGGGGGGGGGCAGATATCCGCCCCCCCCCCCGTCGGTGCGCGGGTTAAGCGCCTGACCCACTGTGAGTTACCAGGCACACATTGACGTCATGAATTCAAAATGCACCGGTATACTCATCGCCCTCACCCACGCACGTCACGTGATGCCATCCGGCACACTGAGGTTTGGAATGCACGCCCTGGTTCTTTCCATTGTGCGGTACTGCATGAGTGTGTACGGGACGTGTGGTGTGACACAGATGACTCGCGACAGGAGATCATCAACTTTTGTGGGCGGGTCGTCAGCGGTCGCAGACGCAGTGACCACATCTCCGATGTCATCGAGCGGCTCGGCTGGCTGCGAGCTGATGAGTTAGCCGAGTACCACACCATCTGCGCAGTCCAGCGAGCTATCACCACGAGAACTCCTGAATATATCAGCCAAACCATCGGTCCATTAGCCCGCGACCTACATGACCACAACACAAAGCACGCCGGCAGATCGACACAACCACGACCCCGAACCGAGACGGGAAGGCGCCGACTATGTATCAAGGGGGTCTCGATGTTGAACGACGAACTTGGATCCGAGGTTCCGTCCAAGGCGCCATCGTTCCGTCGAGAGGCATAAAACGCGATTCTTACCAGATGTCACTGAGATGGTATTGGTGTGAATCATGAATGTCATGTGCGTGATTTGTGTGTGCTATGATGATGTCATGCCCACTTAACCCATGTTTTATTGGTTTTATCTGCTTTCAGTTCAGATGAAAAGCCACTTTTTGCTGTGGACCCTCGATGAATGCATATCTGAATATGAATCTGAATCAACAACCTCAGATTCTTTCGATGCAACTTATTAGCTGTATCTAACATACATGATAAATCGTCTGCATTTGACTACTTGAAGCGATGGAGCGGTCATGACCTTGCCATTGGCCGTGCACAGCTCGAAACCCTCCCATTGACTGTCCATAGCTGAGCGGTGCGTAACAGTGCGAACTTCCAGACGTGATTACCAGACAACCAGCACTGGCCGAGTCCGTAGCCAATTCCGCATTGCACTACTAATCCGCACCGCACCTCACCAAATCCACACCAGCCGAACAAGCCCGCACCTACAAGATATCATCGAAATTGCCATACTTTGCGGACTGGAGCTATGGGAATCTTCCTTTCTTATCCTGGTTATGTTTCTTGTTTAATATTTTGGTGATATGTAAGCATCATATTTAGATTAAGGATGTCAAAAAATGGAAGAATGTTACACAAATTTACCATTGAAAAAAGTTGGTCCTTAGACCTTAAGTAAATACGACTTACTTTAGGAATAGGTATATACTGGTGAATGGGATCAAGGCAAAACAATCAGTATAAAAAATACCAAAAACTTACCTAATATTATGCGCAGGTGTTTCAAACGTGTGGCTGAGTCCTTTTTGGTGTCAAGAATCTTTTGGATTGACTTCTTGACATCAACGCCTGCATGTCCCTTTTTAGCTAGGTTGAACATGATGAAATCCCATGTGGTTGAGTATCTTCAGCCTGTAATTAGGTTTCCTCACATGGCATATCAAAAAATCCTGAACTACGATGCCCTCTCAAGTCTCAACACAAAACTTCCAGTGACAGTGAAGGTCACTTTTTGAATTGAATCACTCTGAATTGGAATAGCAACGAAAGGGACCACTCTTCGTCACGGCGACTGTCATGAATCAAACTGAAATTTTATTCAAATATGAAATTAAAACACATAACACCTGCCAATGCCTTGCACACCTGCCGAACTTCTTCGATCGTCATTTCACGCCGCAGCTCCTCCCATTTTCACCATTTTTGTCACGAAATTGCTTTCAAGGACAATGTTTTGTCATATCTAGGACTTTAAAAAGTAATCTTCTTGTAAAGTGACGTCATGAATATTTGAGCATTTTATTTTATACATTCATACCTACGTGCTAAACGATTTCTCTTATCACAATTGATTATTTTATCCCATATAAGTCGATTTTTCAAACTTTAAAGAAGTACCTAAGTCCTACCGCTACTATAAATGCACTTAAGATTTACTAGCGATTTCCTGACGTACGTTGACGTAAGCTATTTTTCATGTTTCATTCAGTAGATGTCAGCACAAGCTTACGCCTGAAGTTATGCTATGCCGCAATACATTACCTCAGTTGATTCTATGTTTTTAGGGCCTTGGCCCTCGCCGGACCTATTGGTTTTCTACATACGCGCCGGCCGAGGGGGGGGGCGGGTACGACCCCCCCCCCTCGCCGTTTCGCCCCTGGTGGAGCTAGCGCGTCGCGGAAAAAAACGAGCGTGTGCGCCGTTACGAGACGCAGAGATTGGTACCCGATTTTAAGGTCCTAGGTCATCCGGTGACCTCTGAGGTCAGGTCAAGTGCCTCAGGGTACGGTTCAGTTTTTGGTGAATAACTTCGCAAAAAACGGCCGCAGAGCGCCGATTTTGGCAGCATCGTGTTCGCCTCGCTCAGGCGCGTCGAATGATATACTTTTTGTCCGGGTCAGGTCAACTTGGGGTGTTGACCTCAGGTCAAGGTCAGGTCAGCACCCCCAGGTCACGAAATTGGTCGAAAGAGGTCATGTCGCATGTCATTCGATTTGGCAGGCCTTCCTGAGTCCATTGGTGCCTTTCCCGACTCGCTAGCTCAATATGATCAAGAGTTATTGACGAAAAACTAATTTGACCTTGATGACGTCATAAATGACGTCACGCAAGGTCAACATTGCAAAAGTGACGCATCTAACCTTGCAAGGAGTGCATCAAATCACGATTCTGTGTGCTTGAGATAGTTGGAGATCGTTCCCGGCGCCAGAATAGCAGTTTGAATTTTTCCCATTGACTTATAATGGTGAGGTCACGAAAATGACCTGACCTCATATGAACTTCAGGAAAAATCCGAGATATACAAGTTGTGGGACTCATAATGGATACTAGATCCTGCAAGTTTCATTTCCCTGTGACATCTCCTCTGGCAGTGAGGGCGTTGCGAAGTTGCGACATCTGAAGACCGTGCAGAGGTTCACTTATGACGTCATAGGTCAGTGACCTGACCTGACCCAAAAATGCGGTTGGTGTCAAAAGATCCGGCTTGGATCAAAGGTCAGGTATGCCAAGTTTCAGCTCTCTATCGCCAGCGTGTTCGGAGCTATCGCGAAAAAACCCTATGGGGGGGGGGCGGCACCCGCCCCCCCCCCTCGGCCGGCGAGGGTTAATTGGATGAGGCGTTACACAGTCGAGCTTCCCCGACGGGGCTGGGGGGTCATGGACACGATTCACCCACTTCTAAAAACCGGAGATGTCAACGAAAGTTAGACGTCGTTGGCAGTGGCGGATCCAGGGGGGGGGGGCAAAATGGGCATTTGCCCCCCCCCCCCAAACGGCATGATTTTAACATTACGCCTATGGACGATGCATGGAAAGAATCGATAAATTGTTATGGTTTGCCCCCCCCCCCAAAAAAAAAAAACTCTGAGCTGGATCTGCCTCTGGTCGTTGGCGTAACGCGTTTAGAAGTTATTGGCGAAAAACGGGAGGGGGCGGATTCTGCCCCTCCCCCAGCGGGGCGCGGGATAAGGGGGGTCCGTTGGACCCCCTCCTGCTGTTTCGCCCCTGGTCGAGCTAGAGCTTCGCGGAAAAAACGAGCGTGTTACCCGTGACGAGAGGAAGCCGATGATACCCAATTTAACCCGGCAGTTGCTGGGGTATTTCGCCACCCACCGTTTGCTGGGGGGGGGGGGCGTTAAACGCCCCCAGCCGATAACTCGAGAACCAATAGGCGAAGCGAAACGCACGAGGCGGCAAACGAAAGAACGCGACGAGACGCTTCAGATGAGCACTTCAAAGTTGAATTTTGAGGTCACAGGTCGGGTCAAGGTCAGGTCAAACACCTGAAATCGGGCTTTCAGTAGCATGGACTTCAGGGCTTCGCAATGGGCGCCTCTCGTCAGAAACTCTGTCAAAACGGTGCACAGTCCATCAAATAAGGCCTTCAAGAGTGTCAGCTCCATGTAGGGCCCGGGGGTCAGTCAAGCATAGGTTAGGGTCAAGGTCAGGTCAACCGGGTAGACACATATCCCCGAAAATCAAAACTGATATTCGCAGCCTATGACACATGTTTTATGGGTAATTTGGGCCGCAGAACACGATGGTGACATTCATTTTATCATAGGTGTACGTGTTTGGCTCAAAAAGTTCAATTTAAGAAATTCATGTATCATGGTCGTGAAGTAGTCACGAGAAATTGTCAAGATTCAGTTCAAGATTTTGGAAAATGCGGAACGATAATCAATAATCGAAGATAGCCATTTGATTGATCATGGTATTGGCATTCTAATGGCGTTAACGGCATGTCTGTATGTCTATTCTGTGATTTTATATGATTTTTTGAACATATGCCGTTTTTGGTCGAAAACTCAGAAAAATCATGACGTCACGAAAAGCTCGATATCTCAAAAATTTTCCGACTGATTTTTTTTTTAACTTTGCCACAATAAACTTAAATCAAATCCCTACAGGTACCCAAAATTGGGCGCGCCTGCGGCGCGCCGTTTTTATGCTATGGCCCGGCGAAAAAAGTGGGGGCGTTTAACGCTCCCCCCCAGCAACTCGCGGGTTAAAGGTCCTGGGTCATCGGTTGACACATGACCTTCCAGGTCAGGTCAATGACCCAAAAGTTGGGGAAATCGGGACCTCTTAACCCTCGCCCGTAAACGGTGTTTTGCCACCTTCGCCAATGCAGGGGGGGGAGTTGGTGCGACCCCCCTGGCGTTTGAAAACGGAGCGTCGTAGAGCTTAGCGGAAAGGACCAACGGATTGCTCTCAACGAGATCTCGCGATTGGTGGTATATTTTTTGGTCCTAGGTCAATATTTGACCTACTTATGATCATTTAAAGTCAAATTTTCGGAAAAATCTAACTTTTTCATATTTCCGCGCCGATTGCGGCAAAACCGTAAGAGATGTCGACTTGAAACCTTCACTATCGTGATCCTTGATCTATTCTCTATCGTTTGGTGTGTATTTTGATGTCATAACTCTAAAAATGATGCGTTGGGAGCATCGGAAGTCTGCAAGGTCATTTGTGCGTTGGGTCACGTCAGGCGTGTGACGTCACTGACCTGACCCTGACCCAAAATGAACTACAAGAAACAACCGACGATGCCTGAAATGGATAGCAAATTCGAATTCAGGGCATCAAAATACCTCAAAAAGGCATAGGCAAGTGCAAGAAGTCATTACAGGTCAACCGAGGTCACTGACCTTACCTTGACCTTTAGTAACTTTCAAAATGTCAATGGACATTGTGCCAATGTCAAATCAGCCAGTTGTGATTCTAAAACAATCCATCAGTGTGTCAGGTCAGTGGCATTTATACCAATGTGAAGCAATCTCCAATTTAGCGTAAATCTGGCCGGAGGTTGTTCCCTTTATGACGTCATAACTCCGTGACCTGACATGACCTTGACAAAAAAAAAATACCAAAAGTTGCGCAAAGGATACCCCATAGGGTATTGAAAATTTGAGCAGGCTATCTGAAACGGTTCGGCGTGTAGCTAAGAAAAACCTCAGGGGGGGTGCACCCCCCCCCCCCCTACATGGGCGAGGGTTAAAACGTCGTAAAATAAAACGTGGCAGCTGTGGTTTTTTTTTCGGGGCGCTGATCACGAATTTCATGTAAGTTATGATCATAGATGATGTCTCCATGCAATTAGGCCAGGTCGTGTCAGGTCAACCAGTACCTACCTAAGGGTTTTGCCGGGCATTCGTAGTAGGATGGCAACCGCCTCTGACAGCTTCGTAACATGTTACGTAGCATGTTACAGTAGGTGTAAAATTGATCAGGCTCGTGGGTGTAGATACTGAAAGCTTCGTCGCGATCGGCCGCTTCTTACGCAAGTTTATTCGCGAAAAAACCGAGGGGGGTCCGGTCGACCCGCCCCCTTCCTATACGGGCGAGGGTTAACACCCGTTAGAACATTCAAGAAGAAGTTTTGGTGCCTACGTAATCTGTTGCGAAGCCATTAGTGGTGATTGACACCTACTAGAGATGTCAATCGGATACCGACTTTTTGTTATACCGATACCAAACCGATACCAACTTGGTACCTATTTGGTATTTCAATCCTAATGTGTCTGATATTTTGTTGATATCATGAACCCCCACTAATGTATAAGACGCTAAGAAATCGGCAAAAAGTTAGTAGGTTTCCCTCATGTTCCCAAGTTGGTTTGGTTTCGGTATTTCTCCATGGTTTTGGTTGGTATTTGCCATTCGGTATTCCGTATCGGTATTCCGATTTTCCGGTATCGGTATTCCGATTTTCCGTACCTAACTGACATCACTAACACCTACCTTCTATAAAGGCGGCAGGGCACCTACTCGTCGGGCCTAAGCTGACGCGACCTTGCATGAGAAAATCATCCTTGATCAAAACTAAAATGAAATTCGTGATCAGCACCCCCCAAAACCAGCAACCTCACTTTACGAAGTTATGACAGCTTTCGCTTTGCCTATATCAAAGCTCTATAACTGAAGCTTGATATAGTGAACATTGACGGCAGGAGCCAGTAATGTAGACGCAGCGTTGCAACAGCGTTGTTGTTTTGTTCAACAACAATATTTGGCGATGGAAAAATAACAAGGTCAACATGGTATCACCATCACCCCACCCTCCCTCCTCCCCACCCCTAATGACCGAAAACCCCCAGGCAATGCGCCGCAGTCGGGTGACCCACCGCGGCG